ACAAGAGGGTATAAGCTCCATAGTTTTAGTGACTTTGTAGGTAATGGGGCTCTAGGGGACTGACTCACTAACCAAATTCTCTGGAGACTGATTTGAAAATCCATATGCAAGATTATTAATTTACAGTGGTGCATATACGTGTAGAGATGAAAATCCTCTCACCTGCTCAAGGTAAGGAGGATTTTTGCCATGTGAAGAATTAGACAAGGAAAATTAGATGTAGCCCAGAGATATTTATAGCAAGCAACCCTCAGTTTGTGGTTCTCTAATTCGCTAGTGCTTTCTGTCTTCCATTGCATTATTCCCATTTCTTTCTCAAGACAGCCCAGGTGAACCCCGAATGATCTACCCACCTTAGCTTCCTGATTGTTGGGCTTATAGGTATGTACCAATATGGGCTGAAAATTTTTCTTCTTTTTTTGAGAGGAAAGCTCAGTTTGTAGCCTTGACAGGCTGAAGTTCTATGTAGACCAAGTTGGCCCAGAAGACACAGATATCTTCCTGCCTCTGCTTCTCAAGTACGGCGGTTAAAGATATGCACTGCCATGCCCAGCTTTTTTTTAATTGTTGTTTGTTTGTTTGGTTGGTTGGTTTGGTTTTCAGAATAAGGTTTCTCTGTGTAGCCCTGGCCTGTCCTAGAACTCACTTTGTAGACCAGGCTGGCCTTGAACTCAGATCTGTCTGACTGCCTCCCAAATGCTAGGATTAAAAGTTTGCCACCTTTGTTTGGCAAATGTTTTGTTTTGTTTTGACTAGCCTAGGTGACATGATGTTATTTCAAAAAGATAGTAAAGCTAGGCAAAGGCAGGTTTATTTCTATGAATTTTGAGGCCAGTTAAGTCTGCACAATTGAGACTTTGTCTCAAAAGGGGGGGGGGATGATAAACTGGATGTGGTGGCATGTCATGTTCCTCATCATGACTGAGGCAAAAGAGTCATTTCAGATTTAGTCTAGGTTTTGCTGCATGGTGGATTCAATATAAATATATTGACCTCAACTCCAGCTAAGCTATCTGGGGCTAGGGATGAAGCTCACTTGTCTAGCATGCATGAAGGCTGGACCCCACCCCCAATCCTGCAAAAGTAGTGGCATACATCTATAATCCTAGCACCAAGGTTCTTTTTGTGGGGCGGGGAGCTAGAGTCTCTGGGAACTTTCTGTTCTCCTGCCTCAGCCTCCTCAGCTTCCAGGTGTGCACCACCATGGTTATCTTAATACTTTCTGTAAAGACTTCTCTGTGTCTGGGGTAATTAAAGTCATTACAGGAGTGGTTTTGCCAGATATTTACATGTTAAGAGTTTTAGGCACATCTTTACATTTTCTTGTCTTGTTTGAGGCATGATCTCAGTCTAAGCTGTCCTGGAACTCCCAATGCTGCTTTACTCCCCTGGGAATGGTAGACCTAGAGGGCTTACAGGCATATACCACCACACCTGACACCTCTCTCTCTCTCTCCCTCTCTCCCTCTCCCTCTCCCTCTCCCTCTCCCTCTCCCTCTCTCTCTCTCTCTCTCTCTCTCTCTCTCTCTCTCTCTCTCTCGTTTTTCGAGACAGGGTTTCTCTGTGTAACTGGCTGCCTGTAACTCACTCTGTAGACCAGGCTGAACTCAAACTCACAGAGATCTGCCTGCCTCTGCCTCCAGAGTGCTGGGATTAAAGGTGCGCACTACCACAGTCCATCAACACTTCTCTTTTAAAGGTTCTATCAGTTTATACTATGACCAATAAGTATTCCAAGCTTGCTTAGGGAATGAATGCTCCAGGCAACCATCTGAGGCCCTTTTTGTTTCTATTTATAGACAAAGGAAGTCAGGCTCAAAGAGACTAAAGTAGAAGCATGGGGCAGTTGGGGTACAAGTCCCTACGTAACATTGATCTTATAGCTCCTCAAAATGCTGTACATATTTGAATTTTTATTCAGACTATCACTGTTATTCCTACTACCATTCAATATACTCAGTCTTAGGTGGAAAAGATATTGGAAAGATATTGCTTGGAAAATAAACTATAAAGAGGAAATGGTTATTTACCTGAAAACAGCAGCACATCATCATGCTTCATCACTTTATCCTACAGTTTTGTAAAATTGCACATAATTCACATTTTGAAATAGGGAAATTAAAAATCAAGAATCTTATTAATGAACCTTTATTTCCTTTACTCCCCGACAGTCATCACCATATCCTGTTATTCTCATCTCTAATATCTCAAATAGAGTTCACATTCATGTACTCTTACTGGGTTTTTTTTTGTTTTTAAATTTTATTTCTTTGTGAATGGTCTTAGTTTCTCTACTCCATAGTTTATCTTTTAAGCCTAATCCAAAGTTAATTTTTCCCTTTAAAATTAATTACCTATATAATAAGTGATACATTCATTGAAGAAAAAGCATCTGATAAAAATCACGTTTTATGCCCATGTATAGATGCTCCTCTCAGGCTTAATCAGAGAAGCATCATTCTCAGTGGACTGCAGTGGATGTACAGGCTCATGGTTGCACATGGCTCCTAAATTAAAGACCAGGCTGGTCTACAGTGCAAGTTCTGGGACAGCTAGAGCTACACAGAGAAACCCTGTCTCAGAGATGGCTCCATGGTTAAGAGCGTGTATTGGTTGCTCTCGTAGAGGCCCTAAGTTCAATTCCTAGCATCCACCTCACGCAGCTCACAGCCACCTGTAACTCCAGCTCCAGGGTATCTGATGTCTTTTCTGGACTACATAGGCATCTGCACTCATGGGGCATGTTATCAAAGTTAAGCACACGCACCCATGTGTGCACAAGCGCACTTGCATGTATGTCTGTATGAGGACATCAGATTCCTCTGGAACTGGAGTTACAGATATTTCTGAGCTGCCATGTGGGTGCTAGGAATTGAACCCAGTCCTCTGGAAGAGCAGCCAATGGTCTTAACTGTTGAACCATGTCTCCATCCCAGAAATCTTTTTTTAAAAAGGAAAAAAACTAAAACAAACAACAAACAAAAGAGATAAAGAGATGGTTCAGTGGTTAAGAACACTTACTGCTCTTGCAGAGAATCTAAGTTCAATTCTCAGCACCCATGTTGGCTAGCTCACAACTGACTCCAGCTCCAGGGGAATCTGACATTTCTGGCTTCTTAGACCTCTGCATATACACACATAACACACACACATCCCTAACCCTTTGTTGTATTTTCATTTTGTTTTCCAGACACAGTTTCTCTGTGCAACAGCCCTGGTTGGCCTCAAACTCAAAAATCAGCTTGACTCTTCCTGGGGTCAAAGTTGTGGGACACCATGTCTGAATCACACTTTTTTATTTTGTTTGTTTGTTTGCTTGCTTGTTTTGGTTTTTCGAGACAAGGTTTGTTTGTAGCTTTGGAGCCTGGCATCAAACTCAGAGATCCACCTGTCTCTGCCTCCTGAGTGCTGGGATTAAAGGTGTGTGCCGCCATCACCACCAGGCCACTTATGTTTTTAAAAGTAAAAATAGATCTTAAAAACAAAAACAAGCCGGGTGGTGGTGGCGCACACCTTTAATCCCAGCACTCGGGAGGCAGAGGCAGGCTGATCTCTGGGAGTTCGAGGCCAGCCTGGTCTACAAGAGCTAGTTCCAGGACAGGAACCAAAAAACTACGGAGAAACCCTGTCTCAAAAATCAAAAAAAAAAAAAAAAAAAAAAAAAATTAAAAAAGAAACCTTCCAATTAGAAAACAAAATGGATCTGGGCTCTGCAAAAAAGTATGTGTTCTTAACCACTGAACGTCTTCCCAACTTCCAGTTTTTGTTAATTTATCATCCTTTTCTTGCCTGCCATGCAGAGCTGAGCTGGATTCCTAGTACTGCATAAAACCAGATGTGATGGCACAAGCATGTAATCCCAGTTGAGGGCAGGATGGGATACATGAGACCTTGTCTCGGAAGAAAAAAATGAAACCTTGGACCAGTGAGTTGGGCCAGCTGATAAAACACTCTTGCTGCCAAACCTGTTGGCCTGAGTTAAAATCCCTGTGACCACACTGTGGAAAGAAGTGGTTCCAAGTTGTCCTCCATGTATATACTCTGGCAATTGCACATACACACAAAATAAGTAAATAAAGGTAATAAAAATTAAAGTGAGATGGGTTAGCAGGTAAAGACACTTAACCCCCAAGCCTGAGTTTGAGTTCTGTTCCCAGAACCCATGTAGTGGAAGGAGAGAACAGACCCTTGTAAGTTTTCCTCTAACTTCCATATGCATGTGCTACACCCTAAATAAATTTGTTTTTTTTAATCTTGTTTTTTTTTTAAATATTTATTTATTTATTATGTATACAATATTCTGTCTGTGTGTATGTCTGCAGGCCAGAAGAGGGCACCAGACTTCATTACAGATGGTTGTGAGCCACCATATGGTTGCTGGGAATTGAACTCAGGACCTTTGGAAGAGCAGGCAATGCTCTTACCCTCTGAGCCATCTCTCCAGCCCTTAATCTTGTTTTTTAAGATTTAATTAATTTATTATGTATATGGTATTCTGCCTGCATGTATCCTTGCAGGCCAGAAGAGGGCACCAGACCTCATTACAGATGGTTGTGAGCCACCATGTGGTTGCTGGGAATTGAACTCAGGACCTTTGGAAGAGCAGGCTAAGCGCTTAACACTGAGCCATCTCTCCAGACCTATTTTTTTTTCTTTTTCTTTTTTATTATTTATTTATTATGTATACAATATTCTTCCTGCGTGTATGCCTGAAGGCCAGAAGAGGGCACCAGACCTCATTACAGATGGTTGTGAGCCACCATGTGGTTGCTGGGAATTGAACTCAGGACCTTTGGAAGAGCAGGCAATGCTCTCAACCACTGAGCCATCTCTCCAGCCCCCTCCAGACCTGTTTTTAATCTTTTAAGTAACAGAAAATATCAATAAAAATGACCTTAGAAGTAAGTTTATGGAAATTTTCTTAGTCTTTGGTTTAAAACTAGGAAAATTGTTTTTTCCTCAAATGTGACATTCCAATTGTTTTTGATATCTCTTTGCAGATCTTTGTAGAATTTGACGGCTGTAACTGGAAGCAACACTCCTGGGTTAAAGTTCATGCTGAAGAAGTAATAGTACTTCTGCTAGAAGGATCGCTTGTTTGGGCACCCCGGAAGGACCCAGTCCTTCTACAGGGCACTCGTGTCTCAGTTGCGCAGTGGCCAGCACTAGTAAGTAGCTTTTATTTATTTGTGCTTATTTATTTTGGGGGGGAATGAGTTGGAGACAAGTTCATATACTCCAGACTGGCTTCTTGGCAGACTTAGAATTTATCCTCCCACTTCTACCTTCCAGGGCTGGGATTACAGGTGTGTGCCACCCAGCCCTGTTTATACCATGCTGGTTATCAAACCCAGACCCATACACGTTAGGCAAGCATTTTGATATTTTTTCCCCTGTTGTACTATTTTCTTTTTATTTATGGTGTCAGGTATCAAATCTTATATACTAGGCAAGTGCCTTACCACTGAGCTATATCATGTAGCCCAATAAATGAATCACTTTTATTAGATAGGAGCAATTTGACCTTTTCTCTTAGGCCTATAAATATTTACCACATAGTATAAACTCTTCAGAAATTGCAAATATCTACACGCTTTGTCTTTAACAAACTTTTCTTCTGAAGTTACCAAAGCAAAAATTAACAGTTCTTTTTCTCTATGTTCTGAAGAAAAGTTTATTTTGATTGATTGATTGATTGACTGACTGATTGATTGATTGATTTTTCAGGACAGGGTTTTACTGTGTAGCTCTGACTGTCCTGGAACTCATTCTGTAGACCAGGCTGGCCTCAAACTCACAGAGATTCATCTGCCTCTGCCTCCCAAGTCTTGGATAAAAACATGCTCCACCACTGCCCACTGGTTTATTCTGTGACTAACCCAAAATAAATAATGTAAACCAAATGGTACATTCAATCTGTTGGTATACTATTATCTCTTTTTTTTTTTTTTTTACTATTATCTCTTAATATAAGTTTTAATTTTTTTTTTTGGCTGATGTTGAAGACAGGGTTTCTCTATGTAGCCCTGAATGTCTTGGAACTTACTGTATATATCAGACTGGCCTCACACTCATGAGATCCAGCTGTGTCTGTCCCTGGGTTCTGGGATTAAAGGCATGCACCACCATGCCTGGCTTGCCTATATAGATATATATAGTTAAATATTTATTTATTATGTATACAATATTCTGTCTGTGTGTATGCCAGCAGACCAGAAGTGGGCCCCATTACAGATGGCTGTGAGCCACCATGTGGTTGCTGGGAATTGAACTCAGGATATTTGGAAGGGCAGGCAATGCTCTTAACCTCTGAGCCATCTCTCCAGCCCCCGCCCTTTTTTCTTTTCTTTTTTTTTTTTTTTTTGTCTTGCACTTTCAGATAGTGTGTCTTCCCGATTTGCCCAGGATGGTCTGATAGTATATACCTGTGATATCAGCACTTGGAAAGCAGGTGGATCATGAATTTAAGGACAATGGGTTATATAGTGAGATATAATTAAAGGGATAGGGGGAGAAGAGATTTGAACATATAGCTCATTGGGTAGAGTACCTGCCTAACATGCATGAAGCCCCTGGTTTTATGTAAAGCGTCACATAAAAGCTGGTATGTTGGTACACACCTGTAACCCCAGGACCTAGGAGGATGAAGGCAGAATTCTAGAAGTTCAAAGTCATTCTTCATTTATAGAGAGCTCAAGGTCAGCCATTTTTTGGTATTCGAGACAAGGTTTTCCTATGTAACAGTCCCCTTTGTAGTCCAGGCTGGCCTCAAATTCACTGAGATCTGCCTGCCTCTGCTTCCCAAGTGCTGGGATTAAAGGTAAGTGCCACTGTCTGGCAACAATGATTAATTTCTTATTCCACTTGCCATTTTTAGATATAAAAGTATTAAAACCAGGTATGATGGTTTACACCTATAATTCCCTCATTTAGGCGACTGAGGAAGGAGGATTACCATAAATTCCTCACCCTGAGCCAAAAACCAAACAAACAGAAGTTAGAAAATACTGAGCAAACATAGTCAGGCATGGTGGTGCACACCTTTAATTCCAACATTTGGGAGGCAGAGGCAGGCAGATCTCTGAATTCGAGGCCAGCCTGGTCTACAAAGTGAGTACCAGTACAGTCAGGCTACACAGAGGAAACCCTGTCTCCAAAAAAAAAAAAAAAAAAAAGGAAACCCAAAAAAACCAGCAAAACAACAGCAACAACAACAACAAAAAAAATGAACCAAACAAAAAAGACGAAAGAGAGAGAAAAAAATCTCCTTTGGTTTGTGAGCAGTGGCAATGTTTGAAATGTTCCTAAGGCCTTGTTTGTTAGTTTGTCTGTGTTCCCTAGGATGAGAGGAGAGTAGTAATTGGATGTGCTTCTCTGAAGTCAGAGAGGAATTGACTGTTCCTTGTTTTCACTTCCAAGTTCTCATCAGCCTCTTTTCATTGTCATTGTGCTCCACAGACTTTCACTCCCTTGGTAGATAAGCTGGGTCTGGGCTCTGTGGTGCCAGTTGAATACCTTGTGGATCGAGAACTGCGTTTCATGTCAGATGCTAATGGGCTGCATCTGTTCCAGGTATTTGCTCTATCTAATCTTGGGCTTACTAGTTACCTCCTTGTTAATTTCCTTGTTGATTCAAATCCTTTTGGCATTACCTTGCTTCCTGTAATAAATTTCTCTGTGCATTTGAAGTTTTCTAATTTCTTAAAAAATTCATTTGGTGACTGATGCTTCTTTTCTCTTCTGTACTCCCACCCCCCCACTCTAAAGCCACCCAGGACTTCAAGAAAAATGGCTTCTCTGGGGTTAGAGAGAGGGCTCAGCAGTGTAAGAGCACTTGTTGCTCTTCCAGAGGATTTGAATTTGGTTCCCTACACCTATAACCTGAGCCTTACAACTGCCTGTAACTCCAACTATAGGGGAAACCAATGCCCTCTTTTGTCTCCTGATACCTGTTCACGTTATACACACACAAATAAATAAATAAATTGAAAGGGGGCTTCTCTAAGATGGCGTTTGATATGACTTGTGTGGCTGGAACCTAGTGAGGTTTGTGTTTACCTTAGTGGCAGATGAGCAGAAATGAGTAACAGCTGGTTCCTAGCAGTATGAAATATGAAAGGATATGCACGTGTGCGCACACACACGGAGAAAATTGAGTGTGAACAGTTTAAACAGACTATCATGTGAGTGTAAATAGTTTAAACAGACTATCATGTGAGTGTGAATAGTTTAAACAGACTATCTTGTGAGTGTGAATAGTTTAAACAGACTATTGTGTGAGTGTGAATAGTTTAAACAGACTATCGTGTGAGTGTGAATAGTTTAAACAGACTATCGTGTGAGTGTGAATAGTTTAAACAGACTATCGTGTGAGTGTGAATAGTTTAAACAGACTATCATGTGAGTGTGAATAGTTTAAACAGACTGTCATGTGAGTGTGAATAGTTTAAACAGACTATCATGTGAGTGGTAGTTTAAACAGACTATCATGTGAGTGGTAGTTTCATTAGGAAAGATACTACTGATTGGAGAAACGGTTCAGAAGTTTCTGCCTGTGTTTATTTCTTTTTTTAAATTTACTTTTGTTTTGTTTTTATTGAGCTATGTATTTTTCTCGGCTCTCCTCCCTTCCTCCCACCTCCCCTTCTGCCTTTTCCCATGATCTCCACACTCCCAGTTTACTCAGGAGATCTTGTCTTTTTCTACTTCCCATGTAGATTAGAAGGTTTTACTCTTTCATTGGGAGAGCTGAGACCAATATTTCCTAAACTACATTCTATGAGTTATTAATGGCAGCTTCTTTGTTATTCTTCCTCCTCAGAGGTCATTCCCTTTCAGTATCCTTGCTTCATTCATCTTCATGCTCCTTGGGTTTGTGGGTGATGCAGGACTCTTTAGGGAAGGATTTTCTCATCTGCTAAGTTTTATTGCCATTCATTTTAACATCAGTTTTTCCTTTTACTTTGCCAGATGGGAACAGATGCTCAAAACCAGATTCTTTTAGAGCATGCTGCATTAAGAGAAACAGTTAATGCTTTGATCAGTGACAAAAAGCTACAAGAGATATTCAGCCGAGGTAAGAACAAGCAGTTTTCTGTCCTTGGACTCTAGATCAGGTGGGCCATTGATGGAGAGAATGTCTATAATTAACTGAATTTCTAGAATAACTGAAAACAAACAAACAAAAAACAGCCTCTTACTCAGGCCATTATGTTTAGTGTACTAAACACATGTACTAAACAGTGTCACTTCCTACCATTGGGTAGAGGGTTCAATTTATAAAATTTCCATATTTTCTAATAATTCATAGTCCTGACAAACACAGCACCCCTAGATCTTCTTTCTGTATTTCAAAACACAAAGTTTTGATGTTTTCCACATAGTATGTTAACTACATACTAAACAAAGCATTAATGATAGAGACACCACCCTTAGAGAAAGCCTTCGCTGTTGTTCTAGTTATACTAACAACTTGCACATTTCTCAAGAGCTAAAAGCTTGTTAACACCAACAAAGTATATGCATAAAGCCGTCCGTCCATTCATAGACTTGTTCATTAACAACAAAAGTAAAGGGGGAGGTGTGTGCTAGAGTTTTTGAGTCTAGTCAGTGGTAGAGTGCTTCTGTAAAATATGTAAATTCCTAGCTCCCATATTTTCACCATGAGTTGAACTCTCACCCTAACAGTACTGAAACAGATAGCAGGCATTAATGGTCATTAATTATCCCTATGGCCATTTTACCTAGTAGCACATTTAGCTTAGTGACCTGGTTTGTTTTGTTTTGCTTTATAGCTTAGGCTAGCCTTTCAGAATTTTATGGTTGAGGGAAGAGATAAGAATAGATTAGATAAAATAATAGATTAAAAAGATAGAATTGGGGACTTGGGAGATTCCTTAGAAATGAAAAGTTTATAAAATTCACTAGAAAAAAACATTGTTTCATTTTTATTCTATTGAGTATGAAAAATTTTTCCTTTCAGCTCTGCACAGAAAATGCTAAGTGTTTACCTCATGTGCTTAGCCCAAGCATTCAGTTCTAATTGTTCTCTTCTCTAGGTCCCTATAGTGTTCAAGGTCACAGGGTCAAAATATACCAGCCAGAAGGAGAAGAAGTATGGCTATGTGGTGTTGTAAATCGTCAGGACACAATCACCCGTCTCATGGAGGTTTCTATAACTGAGGTGAGGCTCTTATTCTGTAAGAGGTACAGCCACTGCTTTAGTGTGGATGACAGCAAAAGTATTTCAGCATTGTAAGAAGACTAACTTCTCCCTCTGCCTCTGCTTCTGAGTGAGCCTGAGGAAGGCTGCGTAACTGTTACCTCATTGTGAGTTAGAGGTAAACATGTAAAACCTCACTGACACCTTTAAGCCCATCACTCTGGAGGCAGAGGCAGGCAGATCTCTGAGTTCAAGGCCAGCCTGGTCTACAGAGCGAGTTCTGGGACAGCCAGAGCTGTTACACAGAGAAATCCTGTTTTGAAAAACCAATAAATAAGTAAGCCTGCTGACTTCATAGCATGGGAGTCTCTGACAGTTCTTGTAAACTGGGTGTGGCTACATTTACATGTAGTTCCAGCACTCTGGAAGCCTTAATCCCGTGGAAGAAGAGGAAAGACCACTACTGAAATTCTTTGGTCAAATTACACAGGCTTTATTTTCTGTCACACAGAGCTGTCTCCCTCAATTGGAGTTTGAGAAAATAGCATTGAACATAGAAGAAGGTTAGATTTAAATAGCCCCCAAACTTCAAGGCTTCAGGATAAGGTTTGCAGGATTTCCAGAAGAATTTTGCTTGTATAGAAACTTAGTTGAACATTTCAAAATTATTTGACAGAATATCTTATCAGGATATATTCAAAGGTGTTATCACAGTACGTCAAGGTATGAGTCAAACTCCATAGTGTGAGGGGAACATGTCAAGTTCCAGAAATGGGTTAAAGCACAGTCAAGCTTGAATTTTGCAGCAAACAGAAAAAAACTTGTTGTAATAATAAAGTTAGTTTTTTGTTTATATGCATAGGTGTGTGTGGGTGTATGTGCTATATGCATAGTGTGCCCACAGAGGTCTGAAGAAAGTAGGATTTCCTTAAATTGTTCCACATAGTTAATGATTTACCATGTGGGCACTGAGTAAACGTGATGCCAACCTCTGCTCTAAAGCTGCCCTATTTCTCTAGTCCCTCCCCACTAAAGACAATTTTTAAAAAACGTTCAGATTATATACATACATGTAAAGTGCATAATGAAAACTGCCTCTTCCTCTAAGAAACTATTTATTACTCCCACAGTGGTGCCACCAGTGTGGTGTTTTCCATATTCTTCCTAATATTTTCTAAGTATGTATCTATAATATGTTTTTAGTTATATGAAGTTTATACTTTAGTGATTGATATAATATGGTACATAGGCACAATTCATCTTTTGAATATAATTGTATATGGATGCTACACACACATACACATATATATGTATATATACATATATATGTATTTGACTCGTCCTTTAAAATATACGTTTAGTCTACGGGCAGTGATGGCGCATGCCCTGAATCCCAGCACTCAGGAGACAGAGGCAGGCAGATCTCGGTGAGTTCGAGGCCAGTCTGGTCTACAAGAGGACAGGTCCCAAACCATGTCTCGAAAAAAACAAACAAACAAAAAAAGTATATTCTAAGTTGATATATCATAACTAAATAGTTTTAAATTAGGGGACTTTGAAATCAGGCAAGGTATTTTTACTAACACAGGTATTGGCTCAATTAGCACACTTATACATGATTTCACACATTTTATTTATTAGATTGAACCCTTCATGAAGGTATGGAAAGGTGGTTCAGCAGGAAAGAGCGCCTGGGCCTGAGTTTGTTGCCTAGCACCCTCTTATAGCTGCCTATAACTCCACTTAAAGGGGTTCCCACACTCTCTTCTGACCATTTGTACTCATGTACAAACACACATACATAACTTGTAATTAAAAATAAGTCTGTTAAATACATTCCTAGCTGGGCGCTTGCAGCATACGCCTTTAATCCCAGCACTTGGGAGGCAGAGGCAGGCAGATCTCTGAGTTTGAGGCCAGCCTGGTCTACTAGAGCTAGTTCCAGGACATGCTCTAAAGCTACAGAGAAACCCTGTCTCAAAAAACGGGGTTGGAGGGCTGGAGAGATGGCTCAACAGTTAAGAGCATTGCCTGCTCTTCCAAAGGTCCTGAGTTCAATTCCCGGCAACTACATGGTGGCTCACAACCATCTGTAATGAGGTCTGGTGCCCTCTTCTGGCCTGCAGGCATACATGGAGGCTGAACACTGTGTACATAATAAATAAATAAAATAAATATTAAAATAAATAAATAAATAAATAAATCCTTAAAAAAAAAAAAAAGCTGGGGCTGGAGAGATGGTACAGAGGTTAAGAGTACTGACTGCCCTTCTTGAGGTCCTGAGTTCAATTCCCAGCAACCACATGGTGGCTCTCAACCATCTGTAATGAGATCTGGTGCCCTCTTCTGGCCTGCAGGCATACATGGAGGCTGAATGCTGTGTACATAGTAAATAAATAAATAAATCTTTAAAAAAAAGAAAATAAATTCCTTTGTGTCTAATTGCTAGAAATAGAATAAACGTGTACTTTATCACATTGTCCCCATTCCTACAGGTTTTTTCTTTAATAGTTGAGTGCCTCTTTTAATGATTGTTGGCTTAGATACGGAAATTTAAATGAATATGCTAAGACAATATTTGATCATAGACATTATTACATCAAAGACATACTTAGATCTTGAACTCGCTCAGTTCTTTAATAATTTGTTAGCTTAATATATTAATCCTTACCATATTCTAGATGTTATTTACAATACTGTTACTAGGAAAACTACTTAGGAAGTTTACTTTTGTAGGGAAGTAAAATTAAATAGATACCTATATTGTTGATGAAAATGTATATTACATTTTGGTTGTCAAGGTATTAACTATTTTTTCTCTTTTTTGATGGGTTCTGCTTTCTTGCTCTATAGACTGGCGAAATGAAGTCAGTAGACCCCAGACTTATCCATGTGATGCTGATGGACAATTCAACACCACAGAGTGAGGTACAGTAATAGTCTAAGTAGATTTGTAAGTTTGTGTTACTCTGCTATGTGTATCCCTTGAATACATATTTTCCATGGATTCCCTTGAGTTGCTTGGCTCTGGCTATTCTTTCTTTTCTGATTTCTTTTTGATTTGTCTAGTTAAGAGAGAACAGCCTTAGGAAAAAGACCTAGTTTGAGCAAACCCTTTTAATTAAAGCAATGTCCCCATTGTAAAATTCATGGCCTCTTTCTTCTTATATTCTCCTAGGTCAAGTTAATAGATAGTTAAAACTGCAGTAAACAATAGCAATAATAATGACTTGCCTAATAATAGGCTATAAAGGAAAAGCTGTATCCTTCCTACCCCTAAATCAGCTCCCAGTGGGCTCCAAGGTAGAGTGAAATTCTATATTTTGTAGTGAAATCAAATTAAACAAATGCCTAGTTAGAGTTCCATACACAATGATTTGTTTTATAATTATTCTGAACCATGCCAACCTTTGGTTCATTAAAAATTATTGTAACAAATAATAAACTATGTTAAAAATCTGCCTGAGCCAGCCATACCTGACAATGAATTCCAGCACATTGATGGTAAAGCAAGGATATCAGGAGTTCAAGGCCAGCCTGGTCTAACTGAGGCCCTGTCTCAAAAGACAAAACAAATGTCCACATTCATAGTCTTCAAAGTACTAATACCTCTGTAATGTTCCTCTTTCATTCTTTTTTGACAAGTATGCGGTCCTTCTTTTCCTGTTGAGACAGGATCTGTGTATGTCTGGTACTCACTGTGTAGACTGGGCTGGCCTGGAGATCCACCTGCTCTCCTCTCAAGTGTTGGGCCTATAGGTGTGTGCCACCATGCACTGCTGTGCAGTCATTGTTGAAACAAGAAGAGAAGGAAAGGAAAGAACCAGATTAAATTTAATATGTCTTTAATTACATTATCATAAATAGGATAAGCCCTTACTGTATGTGCATGGCTGCGAATACCTCTTATTTTGATGATGTATTGAGCTCTACTTTTGTTTCTTTCTGTGTTTCATTTGTTTTCTTAAGTACTTATTAATATATAAATGGTACTGCTCAGTTGGTTAGATAAAGCTGGAGAGCCTGCATAGGTCTCACTCCCCATGCTGTCTGCTCACATCTGAGCAACTCAGCATAATAGGACCCACGCTGGTTCTTAGAGACTTGTGGAGACTGCTCTGAGCCAGGGCTGCAGTTTGGCCATGAGTTAGAAACTGAATCTGTGTTTTTTAGCTGAAGATATTGGCTCTTTCCTTTTTGGCTTTGTCATGGTATGACTATATTCTTTACTAACAAAATACAATTATTATCGACACTGTTCTAAGCTCTATAATAACCGTTTAGACCTCCACGATCAATCCCCTCATCTCTGTTAAGTGTGAGGATGAATAAATGAACTATCTCAGTAAATATGCTTCTGCTGTTAGGCTGAAAACTTGCCAAATGGGTAGTTTTAAATGAGGATGAAATAAAAACTATGCTCAACAAAGTACTTTCAATTCTTGAATAAAAGTATGGGAAACTTAGATAATATTACCAGAAATATGATAGATACTTAGTCATAGTGAGCATGTTATTATTTATTCAGACTTGTTAATTATCTCTGTGGAAACTTGGATAATAGTGCCAGAAGTATGGAGAAATGAAAGTAAATCTTGTGGTTTTTGGTTTGGTTTGGTTTTTGAGTTTTACAGGAGATACTAGAAATGTGGCTTATAGGTTGTAAAGTTCCTAGGCTCAGTTCCAGCATTGACCTGCTGTCCCATAATCTCCTATAACTTTAGTTCCAGGCATCAGATGCCCCCTTCTGGCCTCCAAAGGCATGTGTATGTACATGGCCTATGTAAATCTTTTGAAAAATGAATTTTATAAGAAAATTAAGGGAGAAAAATGAAGGCAGCAAAAAAGGAAAGTAAAAAATACATAAATTGGAAAGAAGGAAAAAAAATTTTTAAAGACAAGGTTTTTCTATGTAGCTGTGACTGTCCTGTAACTCACTGTCTAGAGCAGGGTGACCTCAAACTCAGAGCTTTGCCTGCCTCTACCGGAACTAAAGGCATGCACCACTCCACCCAGCTCCAAGGAAAATTTAAAGCTTTTACAAAGTTGGTGGTAATACACGCCTTCAATCACAGCAAGTGGGAGGAAAAGGTAGGAAAATTCAAGGCCAGCCTGGTCTACAGAGCAAGTTCCTGGACAGGCTCCAAAGCTACACAAAGAAACCCTGTCACAAAAAAACAAAGAAATTGACATACCAGATATAATGATTCCAGTAAAGATATGACTCTATAAGTATTGAGGGTAGTGGGGCAGATTTATTAGATGGTAAATGTTCACTGCTACACAGAACTAGCTTATTACCCCCTCTATACTCTTCAGTGCTTCCGAACCAGCCTAAAACCTGTTTCTCAGGAAAGGATGAGAACTGTCCCTTCTAATCCCCATCGTTTTAGGTGTCTGTCCTCAAAGACGTCACAAGACGTCATTGGTAGTGTGAGATACTTGAAAAAAAAAAGGTTTGCGGTTTGCTCTGTTGTTTTTTTCCAGTTCCCTGACTAAAGGTTTGGAGAAAGGTCTGGAAATCAATGGAGTCTAACAGTGTCTGTGTGCAGTTCAAAATGTCAGGTTTACTTTTCCTTTGGTCAGGATTCACATATTTTGGGCTGAGTGATTTCTAAATAGTGGAGTTTTTATATTTCAGTATTTGAAGTGCAAGCCTATCAAAAACAGAATAGGTGCCGGTGGGACAGAAGCAGAAGCTCTGAGTCTGAGGCTCAGACATGTCAGTGTGGCATGTAAGCTCACCCTTTCAAAATAAATCCAAAAACATAAATATATTTTTTAACTTTAAAAAAAAGTATTCATTTTATGTGTATGGGTGTTTTTGCCTGTATGTATGCCTGTGCATCTTCTGAGCATGCCTGGTGCCCTCAAATGTCAGAGTTCGTCAGATTCCTTGGAAGTGAAATTACACAGGTGGTTGAAAGCTTTCGTGTGGGTGCTGGGAGTCAACTCCAAGTCCTCTAGACGAGCAGCTAGTGCTCTTAACCACCGAGTCTTTTCTCCAGCCACCACCACCACCACCACCACCCTGACCCTTTGTTTTTTTGGCAGGGCAGGGGCATGAGGCAGGGTTTCTGTATGTAACAGCTCTGTTTTTCCACCTGCCTCTGCGTCCTTGGTGCTGGGGGATTAAAGGCCTGTGCCACCACCACCTGGCTGAAAATTTTTTCTGAAGGGATGCTAAAGAGGTGGTTCAGCAGTTAAAAGTACTGGCGGCTGCTCTTTAGAGAACTGGTATTTAGCATCTAGAACCCATATCAGGCAGTTTAAAACTGCCTGTAACACCAGCACCAGGGGATCCTACTTCCACCTCTGGCCTCTGAGGGTACCAGTACACACATGGAAGACACATGGCACATACATACACATACATGAAAATTAAAAAACCCAAGGAGATAAATGTGCAAACATTATTTCATTATTGGGCAAATAATGCTCCTAACCTAGCTCTGACAATTGGGTTTGTAGCAGAAATTCCACAAATTGTTGAAATGCTCAAAAAAATAAAAAAAAATAAAAAAATCCCTGTGAAGCAGTATATTTTACCTGCAAGCTTTTGCCACAGAAGTTAACCTCTAGTAACTACTATCTTGAATGTGTGTATCTATAAAGTGAGCCACCAGAGGACTGGAATTTTCTGAATGTTTAGAGCTGGCATCAGGACTGTGCCTTCTTTATCTGCTTCTAGGGATGGGAACACACTAATGGCTAATGGTTTTCACAGAATGAAAGATCCCTTACAATAAACCTTTTTTGAATTTTGTTTTGTAGGGGGGTACCATAAAAGCAGTAAAATCTTCCAAAGGAAAGAAGAAGAGAGAGAGCATAGAGGGGAGAGATGGCCGGAGGAGGAAAAGTGCTTCGGACTCTGGGTGTGACCCTGCTACAAAGAAATTAAAAGGAGACAGGGGTGAAGTAGACAGTAATGGGAGTGATGGAGGTGAGGCAAGCCGAGGGCCCTGGAAAGGAGGTAATGCCAGTGGAGAGCCAGGGCTGGAGCAAAGAGCCAAGCAGCCACCGTCTACATTTGTTCCCCAGATTAACCGCAACATTCGCTTTGCCACTTACACCAAAGAAAACGGCAGGACTCTGGTGGTGCAGGATGAACCTGTAGGTGGGGACATACCTGTACCGTTCACTCCATATTCTTCAGCCACAGGTCAGACACCTATGGCCCCAGAGGTAGGTGGAGCTGAAAACAAAGAGGCAGGAAAAACACTGGAACAAGTTAGCCAGGGCATGGTGGCTTCAGCAGCTGTAGTCACCACCACCAGCTCCACCCCAACTACGGTGAGGATCTCAGACACTGGCCTTGCATCAGGGACTGGGCCGGAAAAACAGAAAGGCAGCTGGTCGCAGGCCTCAGGAGAGGTGAGTGCTTCAGGGCAGACTTGGCAGATTTGCATTAACTCTTCCACCCTCCTTCATTGCTAATACATTGAAAAGCATCTGTAACGCCCCAAGGAAGGAAGATTTCTGATATGGACTTAAATTGTACTCTGCTCATTTGGCAAATATGTGTTTTTTAAATAACTTTATCAGCTCTTAAAAGTCACCTGAACAGTTGAGCTAATTAAAAACCAAAAGACAATTCAATTGAATGAGATGTGGAAAAGATCATTTGTGGGAATCTTTTTCTTTCAGTTATCTGTTGAGTTCACATAGCGGCTGAGCCTTTACTAGGACTCTGAGAGCAAAGTTAATGAATTCCAGTGTTGGTGATAGTGAACACCATAATGAAGGGTGTGTGTGTCCACGCTGCCATTGCGCTGTTTTCAGTTCTTCATTTCTGTGATATTTTTTCTTGTGGGCAGCCTGCTTGCTATTATTTGATATGGCCATAAGTTTTTGTCTTGTTAATCTTATCCTCTTAAAGAGCACTACTGTAAAATCTGATGGCTTTAGTCACAGTGGTATCCACTTTACTATGTGTTTTATATATATGTATAATCAATTATATCAATATAAGCTAAAATGGACAATATAAAAATTAGTTTTATATGGTCTTTGACCAAATTTGGTGACCAAAGTATAATTTATGGTGTTAGCATTTTTCTTTCAAGCAGGCTGTTAACTCATACTAGAATATGAAATCCTTGACTTTTAAAAAATATAAAAGAAAAAATAAAAAAGTTGGGAACTAGAGAAATGGCTCAGCAGTTGAGAGTACTGGCTGTTCTTGCAGAGGACCTGGCTTCAGTCCCCAGGACCCACAGAATGGATGTGGTACACTGAAATACATGCAGGCAAAACACTCAGACATAAAAATGTGTCTTAAAAAAATAAATAAAATAAAAGTTGGATATGCTGTAGTCTCTGGTCACTAATGAAACTAAGGCTAAGGGGTTCATTTGAACCAAGAGTTTAAGACAGTTAGCCTGGGCAATATAAAACTTCGTTACAAAAGTAAAAGAAAACCCAAACAAAAAACTTTATATGGGAAACTACTGTGTGCTAAATACTGTATATTATATATGAAAAACAGGCGTGGAAGTTTATGAGTACCTATAGTCACAGCACTCTGGAGGGAGCAAGAAGGGCAGAAAGTTCAAGTTTATTCTCAGCTACTTAAAGAGTTTGAGGCCAATCTAAAAAGAAAAATCCTTATTTGGAGGAGCTCTCCTACTAAATAAAATGGAATCATTTCAAGTATAGGAATGCCAGATAAAAATGGCATTTGGTTGAGGGTGTAGCTCAGTGGCAGAGCTCTTGCTTATTCTGTGTAAGGGCCAGGTTTCAGTCTCTAACACTACAAAACAGCCACAACAAAACCTATGACTTACTGATTTCATTTTTCTTCCCTGTCCTAGCAAGTGCAATGTTTCAAAGCTTTAGTATTCAGGGATAGGGAGGGAGATGAAAAGTTCAGACAGAAGACAAGACCTGTAAATGTAGTGCTGTTTATGGTTGTCTTGTTAATTAGCCAGTGTTAGCAAAAGAACAAGTAGCTCTTACGTGGATTTCTAGTGCAGATAAGTCGGTGTAGTGCCTAAGTTTTTAAAATCAACACTGCATCAAAGTTAGTATGAGTGTGAATGGGTTTATAAAACAAAACAAATTTTATGTACTATAAAATGTTTTATTCTTGAAGTCGAAAAGCTGAATAAATCTAAGTAATGTAGGTTCAATGGGTTGGAGAGTTTGGGATATGGTTCATTGGTAGAACACTTGCCTGGTGTGCTCACAATTCTAGTAGTTTCAGTCCCTAGTCATCCCTACCCCTCATTCCACCTCACAAAAAATTCAAATACCTTGGAGAAATTTCTGGACTATCAAGCATTTTATTAATGTTTCAGCCTGCCTTTTAAAATCAAAGTATAGCCATAAATGTTTCCATTACAATTATTTGATCTGAAATATAGAAACAGAATAGCCACTAAGAAATTTCTTCTAAAAACTGAGTTGCACCAGTTTTCATCCCTTTTTTCTAAGAAAAGGATTTGGGCCGGGTGGTGGTGGTGCACGCCTTTAATCCCAGCACTGGGAGGCAGAGGCAGGCGGATCTCTGTGAGTTCAAGGCCAGCCTGGTCTATAAGAGCTAGTTCCAGGACAGGCTACAAAGAAACCCGGTCATGAAAAACCAAAAAAAGAAAAAAAGAAAAGAAAAGGATTTGGAATTTGAAGGAAAGAGCAACCAAATTACTATCGCCCACGTGCTATTTGCTTTAGTAATGAAGTATGAGCTACTTAGAGTTCCTTAGAGTCTTGTGGGTATCGGGCTTCTGGCCAGATGCTGCTAGTGAAACAGCTGGAGAGCTTCGGTACTGTCAGCCCTGTTCTCTTTCATGAATGTAGGGTGTGTTAGTACTTGTGTGGTTAGTGGAAAGAAAGCGAACTTAACTCTAAAATGTCCCAAAACAGTCTTGGTAGCAAATATCAGCTGAAGCTAAGCTGCCAGTATTTTAGGCTTCTTTGCTACTCTAAAAAAAATTTACCATTATAACCATTAAAATGTATAGTTCTGTGGTGTTTAGTACACTCACAGTGTTATAAAGCCAGAACCATTACTAGTTTCCAAGATTTTTCTCACTCCAAACAGATACAATAAAGTGAATTTTTAGGTATATCATTCTTTTTTTAATAGTACATGATTTTCAAGTGAGGTGCTAGGATCTAAGTATTACAGATTTAAACCAATAATAAGAAAGGACTCCTATGAATATGTCTGTTTATGTATGTGTTAGGTCTAGGTGCCTAATGTACATGAAAGTGTCCTACAGGCATTCACATATGTAAGTTAAGCATTTTCAAAGTAAAGGAAGAAATGTCGAAATATTTCTTCCATTCTTTGTTATCCTAAATGTTTGTATTTAGCATATATTTCAATGTACACATTTTCATTTTGGGAGTCTTAATAGAACCTAATTATTGCAAAAGGTCTCAGTAAATTGCCTCATGTAAATTAGTGTTAGTTGAAGCATCTATTCAGTTTCAGTTGACATGAGCAGAGCATGTGGTGCACATATCAAATACCAGCACTAGAAAGGCAGGCAAAGTGGGAGATCTGAGTTCAAGGCGACATAGACCCCATCTCAAAAAAAATTCATCAAGTTGACATGAACCTATAAGTAGGTGGCTGGTTTCCAAAAAGATCCATTTTATGAAATTTCAAATTCATAAAGTTCTTTTCTTTAATGAAAAGAGTTGTATAAATAAAGGGAGTTATAATGTGGGCTCTTTACAATAGCTTAAGTAAATAAAACTATTGAGGGCTATATAGCTTATTGGTAAAGTGCTTGCCTAGCATACACAAAATCCTGGGTTCAAAGCAGGCATGTTGACACACACCTATCCTGTATCCTCAGCATTTGGTAAGTAGAGGAAGGAAGAGCAGAAGTTAAAGGTCATTCTGGAAGACATAGGGAGTTTGAGGCCATACTGGCCTACATGAGACCACATCTCTCAAAGCAATACCTTTCTGTAATAGGGCATTTAGGAAGTAGATTGATGTTACAAAGGTCTTTAGTTACATAACAAAGTGAGAATTGACTGTTCAGGAACCCTTTCTTTCCCCCAGCTCCTTAATGGAGTTTCTTTCCAACTACAGTATATACTAAGATTCATACACCTAGCATCTTAGCATTGTACTGGTACTGCCTTCCAGCTAGATAATGACCAGTTGAGTAGCAGATTGGGTGACATCATGCCATCTCTGGCTTACCTTGCTAAAGTAAAGATGACTTCTATACTGTGGACGGTTTTCTCCCTACCAGTACTGGTGAAATCCAGTTCTAAGAACAGATTCATGTAATCTAAGAGAGAAGTTGATTGGCTTACAGAAATGTTGCTTTAGTGATAGCTCTGACAAAGAAAGATCAGTAGGTTGTAGCCAACATCACTAACTAAAACTAAAATCTTCCTTCCAGAATTCAAGAAATTCTAGTCTGGCCTCTTCTGGATTTGGAGTGTCTCTGTCAAGTTTGTCACAACCATTGACTTTTGGAAGTGGAAGGAGCCAGTCCAATGGAGTTTTAGCAACAGAAAACAAGCCCTTGGGCTTCTCTTTCAGCTCTAGCTCTGCACCAGAGTCTCAGAAGGACTCGGATCTCTCCAAGAACTTGTTTTTTCAATGCATGTCCCAAAATTTACCCAGCAGTAACTACTTCACCACGGTTTCAGAGAGTATGGCTGATGATTCCTCTAGCAGGGACTCATTCAAACAAAGCCTTGAGAGCCTGAGCGCAGGCCTGTGTAAAGGCAGATCTTCTCTTGGGACAGATACTAAGCCAGGTCCCAAGACTGGCAGCTCTGTGGACCGAAAAGTGCCTGCAGAGTCTATGCCCACCCTTACTCCAGCCTTCCCACGGAGTCTCTTAAACACCCGCACCCCAGAGAGTCATGAAAATCTATTTTTACAGCCTCCCAAACTATCCCGCGAAGAGCCTTCTAACCCCTTCCTGGCATTTGTGGAGAAAGTCGAACACAGCCCTTTCAGCAGCTTTGTGTCTCAGGCATCAGGTAGCTCTTCCTCTGCCAACACTGTCACCTCAAAGGCAACACCCAGCTGGCCCGAGTCTCATGCCTCTGCAGATTCTGCATCCTTAGCAAAGAAAAAAACCCTCTTTATTACAACTGACTCCTCAAAGCTGGTGTCTGGTGTTCTGGGCTCAGCTCTCAGCACTGGGGGCCCAAGCCTCTCTGCCATGGGGAATGGCCGTTCCAGCTCACCCACCAGCAGCCTCACCCAACCCATTGAGATGCCTACTCTCTCCTCCAGCCCCACAGAAGAGAGGCCAACCGTGGGACCTGGCCAGCAGGACAATCCTCTTCTCAAAACCTTCAGTAACGTCTTTGGCAGGCACTCAAGCAGCTTTCTGTCCTCCCCAGCAGAGTTTTCACAGGAGAACAAAGCTCCTTTTGAAGCTGTAAGAAGGTTCTCATTGGATGAACGAAGCTTGGCTTGCAGACAGGACTCCGACTCCAGCACCAACAGTGACCTGTCCGATCTTAGTGATTCGGAGGAGCAGCTGCAGGCTAAGAGTGGCCTGAAGGGGATTCCAGAGCACCTGATGGGGAAGCTAGGTCCCAACGGGGAGCGCAGTGCTGAGCTGCTGCTGGGCAAGGGCAAAGGGAAGCAGGCCTCAAAGGGCCGGCCTCGGACTGCTCCCTTGAAAGGTGATCCTGCTGGGACCATAGCTGGGCTTTGCTCTAACACTAATATCAAATGCTGTGATGGAACGTTCTTAATCTCATAGCATTACAAAGCCAAAAGGGCTTGACAGAGTCCTCTTGCCAAACCTGGTTCAGGGCAGCATTATTTTCGTGTTGTTACTGTAAGGATTTTCTGGGCACAAAATTCTTGATCTTGTCAGTCTTTTTTGTTGTTGTTGTTTTTAATGAGGAACTAAGTTTCTGTGTATATCCCATTCCTTTTGACTTCACTTTAGACCAGCTTTAAATTTACTTCAGGGAGATCCAAAAAGATAGTCACTGTTCCCATAGAAATCCTTTGTAGGTTTGATGAAGCAAAAAGATTCACAGCCTCAGTTTGTTCCTCCCTTAAGACATTTAACACCTACCAGAGGCCAATCACTACAACAAGATATTGCTGAGAGTCTAGTAATAAAAGCAGCTCTTTCCTTCGGGGATTGACAGACTCTGGGAGCCCAAGATACAGCCGTAGCCTGAAGAACCAGCTTTAGGTAGTGGCTGTCTCCTCTGTCCCTGTGGGGTTTTTCACCCCTAGACCAGTGTTCTCACTTCTCTCAGTTACTTGGTACAAATTCTCCATGGCTTAGTTCTCAACTGAGGCCTTTTTGCTTCCTGCACTCTTTCTGGTTATATTCCTAAAGAATACAAAGTGAAATAGCTCAGGTCAGGATATTTGTCTTGTCTCTAAGAGGATCGTGTCATTGGACCCTATTTACACCTCTATGAACGCCTTTCCTCCTTCCTCGCAGTCGGCCAGTCAGTGCTGAAAGACGTGAGCAAAGTGAAGAAGCTGAAACAGTCTGGAGAGCCCTTCCTGCAGGATGGCTCCTGCATCAACGTGGCACCCCACCTGCACAAGTGTCGGGAGTGCCGCCTGGAGAGGTATCGCAAGTTCAAGGAACAGGAGCAAGACGACTCCACTGTAGCCTGCCGCTTCTTCCACTTCCGGAGGTACCAGGCTCCTTTGTCTGACTGAATTCCCAGTTTTCATTAGTTTTGAATGACTCCCGCCTTCTCTTCCTCAGGAGCCACAAAGGTGTCTTTCCATCTTTCTCTTTCCTTAACCTTTGTTCTTGGAGTCTGTGTTGAGGCTCTGTTGCATTAGAAATGACATGTGATGTTGCCCTTAGAGAATGGAAGGTGAACAGTTTTAGCTTGTAGCCCTGTGCTAGTCCCTGACTTATTCTCAAACAGGGTTCCATTCGAAGTTAGTAGTATAAGCAGGACTCAGTTTATATTACAGGTCTGCCTGACCGCCTCTCCTTCTTTAGTGCTAGAGTAACCTGAGAGGTGGGTGTGAGATTAGGAGATAGTGTGAGGCCTCTTTTTTGTCCTTTGTTTTTTCTTTTGTATTGGTTTGGGGACATGGTCTTATTGTGTTGTCAGTGTGTCCTTGAACTAGTGGAATCACTCTGCCCTCAGCCATCCAAGTGCTGGAATTACATCCTGTCTGCCACCACACTAGACTAAGAATCTTTGCTTACTGAATAAAGAAATCCATTTCTTAGCCTTTTTTGACTAAGATCAAGCAAAGAAATCCAGATTGTTTATTGGTCTGGCCTGAATTCCTTTATTTGGCAAATATTTATTGGGCCATTATTGTGTCAACCATTTTATCCCCTGTGCATTAGAAGCCAAGAAAACACCAAATTTCAGTTCTTGTGGTTTAGACAAGAGGAAAAAGTTCAAAAACAAAACATGTCCGGGGCTAGAACAGTGGCTCTTTAGCTCTTTCTAGTTCCCAGCACCCTTGTGAGCGCCTCATAGCTCTACCTCCACCTGCAGGGGCCTGCACACACACATGCTTAAACTTAAAGTGAAAGTAAATCTTGACCTGAGGAGGGGGCTCAGTGGTTAAGATCCAGGCTGCTCTTCCAGAGGACCCAGGTGTAATTCCCAGAACCCACATAGCAGCTCACAGTTGTCTGTAACTCCAGTTCCAGAGGATTCAACTCCCCCAATACATCCAGGCAAAACACCAATGCATATAAAATAAAAATAATTACTTTGTTTTGTCTTTTTCAAGGTAGGGTTTTTCTTTGTGTAGCCCTAACTGTCCTGGAACTTGCTATATGGACCAGGCTGGCCTTGAACTCAGAGATCTTCCTGCCTCTGCCTCACAAGTGCTGGGATTAAAGTCATACTCCACCACCGTCCGGAGAAAATAAATCTTTAAAAATATGTTATATGTACAAAAAGAAGTCTGTCATCTGAGTATTAAAACCAATGTGAGGGGCTGGAGAGATGGCTCAGAGGTTAAGAGCACTGACTGCTCTTCCAAAGGTCCTGAGTTCAATTCCCAGCAACCACATGGTGGCTCACAACCATCTGTAATGAGGTCTGGTGCCCTCTTCTGGCCTGCAGTCATACACATAGACAGAATATTGCATACATATTAAATAAATAAATATTTAAAAAAAAAAAAGAAGTAAAACCAATGTGAAAAGATAGTTGATATTTTGGGGGAGGCTGGAGAGGCTTGTTTGTTTGTTTGAGACAGGATCTTACTATGAGTCCTGACTGGTCCTGAACTCTTTGTGAGCCAGGCAGGAATGGTACACACCTTTAATACCAGCACTGAGTTCAAGGCCAACCTAGTCTACAGAATGGGTTCCAGGACAACCAGGACTTTACAGAGAAACCCTGTCTCAAGAAAAAAGATGTACACCACCATTCTAGCGTGAGAGACAATGTGAAAGCAAGTTCATTCTGGAGGTTGCACCGTTGCTGGTAGAACTAGGGAGGAGGATAGACTAGGATGAGCAAAGGGAGAGCTCATGATGGGCCCATATTTTGTTTGTTGCTTGTTTGTTTTGAGATTGGTTATCATGTGCCCCGGGATAGTCTTGAACTCCCTGAGAAGGTGGGGATGAACTGAAGCTCTGATACTGCTGCCTCTGTCTCCTAAGTGCTAGGGGTAGAGATATGTCTCACCATCCAGGACCTTCTGCAAGTTAGGTAGGCACTCTTCCAACTAAGCTAAAACTGATGGGTCCATATTTTAAAGGACTGTGCCAGGAGCCTTGGCTTTTATGCTGGTAAGTGCTTGAAGATCTGTTGATAAATGTGTGTAATCCCAACATTGTGGAGGCAGAGGTAAGAAAATCAAGAGTTTGAGGCTTGCATTGATTATGTAGTATATTTAAGATGAGCCTGAACTACGTGAGGCCCTGTCTCGAAAGAGAGAAAGAATTAGTAGAGAAATTCTACTGAGTTGGAGAAAAGGATAGGATGTACATAGAAATACTGACCTTGATTGAGAATTTATTTCAAATGGCTCATCAGATGAAGAACTTGGGTTTGTTTGCAGGAAGCTCTGGCAGTAAGGTGGTGAGAGGAACAAACAGACATTGTTCTCTGGTTTCTGTATACTCTGTATGAGAGGTAAGGGAGAGGCTGCATCTAGAGAGGAGTACATCAGTGAACAGCTATGACTGCTTGGCACTAAGGAGCCCGTCTAAGGTCTAAGTGTGATGATGGAGTGGTCCCTGCTTTTCTCTATTTACATTTAGTGCCATGGATGTGGGTCTGGAACAGATGGATGGGAAAATTCATGACAACTCTAATGGGAGTTTTTTGTTTGTTTGGTTGGCTTTTTTTTGTTGTTGTTGTTTTGGGTTTTTTTTTTTTTTTTTTTTTTTTTGGTTTTCTGTTTGGTTTGGTTGTTTTTCAAGACAGGGTTTTCTCTGTGTAACAGTCCTGGCTGTCCTGGAACTCCCTTTGTAGACCAGGCTGTCCTTGAACTCACTGAGATCCACCTGCCTCTGCCTCCAGAGTGCTGGTATTAAACCACTGCCTGGCCTCATTGAAGCTTTTTTTTTTTGGTTTTTCGAGACAGGGTTTCTCTGTGGTTTTGGAGCCTGTCCTGGAACTAGCTCTTGTAGACCAGGCTGGTCTCGAACTCACAGAGATCCGCCTGCCTCTGCCTCCCGAGTGCTGGGATTAAAGGCGTGCGCCACCACGGCCCGGCTCATTGAAGCTTTTTAAAGAATGGAGATTTAGTAAGTGGTCTCCTAGCAAAGACCACATGTAGCTTGCCCTCTGTCTGTGGTGGTTACACGCAAAGAGATTGAAATAAGTGGATTGAAAACTTACTTAGGCATATAACATTTATGCTAGCTAAACCTGTAGAAACCTTTTCTCATCTTGCTTTTACATTTACTTATTTTGGGGGCGGGGTAGTTGGAGAGATAACTCAGTGGTTAAGAGCACTGACTGCTCTTACTAGAGGACCCATGTTTGATTCTTAGCACACACATGATAGCTCACAACTATCTGTAACCCCAATCCCAGGGGATCCAATGCCTTTTCTGGCCTCTGTTTTTTTGTTTTTTTGTTTTTAAATTGTGTGTGGCATTTGGCAGCCAGGGAATAACTTGAAGAAATGGTTGGGAATCAAACACAGATTGTCAAGTTTAGCAGCAAGTGCTTTTACCCATTGAGCCATCTCACTGTCATTGTGCATCCCTTCATTTCCCCTCCCCAGTCCTTAAACAGTATAGTATTATACTGTTTAAATAAAATATAAAATATAAAACTAAGTATTATAGTAATGCTATATGTAAATGTTGTAATATTTATATTTTATTAGGTACTATAAAGTAACCTGCTTGTGACTTAAAGGAATATGCAAAAACATGTAGTAAAAATACAGTATATTATGAGGGACTTGATCAGCCACAGATTTTAGTAGGGGAGTAGGCAGCATGGCCCACTAGAAAGTATGGCCTCTAACCGTTCTCCTCAGTTCCCAAGGGACAGTAGTATTTGACTTGTCTCCTTTTTGTCTTAGGTTGGTCTTCACTCGCAAGGGGGTACTCCGTGTAGAAGGATTTCTAAGCCCTCAGCAGAGTGACCCTGATGCTATGAACCTGTGGATTCCCTCTTCTTCCCTAGCAGAAGGAATAGACCTAGAAACCTCAAAATACATCTTGGCCAATGTTGGAGACCAGTTCTGCCAGCTTGTAATGTCTGAGAAGGAGGCCATGATGATGGTGGAACCACACCGTAAGGCACCCTTTACTTGTTTCCAGCTGCTCTTGCATGCAGTGTTGATTATTGTCTACTTGAGAGAGAGAGTGGATGGAGAAGGCGTCTACTATAGATGAATTAAGACTAGTTAGACTCCTCCTTGTAGTAGCCTGTAATCAAAATCAGAAATGTACCTAACAGATCTCATTTTTTCCGTCTTTGACACTTAGTAAATCAGAAACTCCTTCTTAATGTGCCTTTCTTGTTTGTCATACATCTGCCAACAGAAGCTTTTGGATACCCCATTGGGATTGAGTCATCCTGATTTCATTTGTTTTAAACAAATTTGCATCAGTACCAATGGTTTGTTGAGATGTGGTGCCATTTAATACTTTATTTTTCACCTAGAATCCTCATTATTACAGAGAAACAATGCAAATATACTGCATATTATTCCCAAACCAAAGGAAACTATACTACGAATTTACACTTTAAATTTTAAGGAAAAAATTCTCTTTGTCAAGTTCTCCCTAATTAAAGATTTTATACTATCTATTTTATTTTTTGTGACAGGGTCTCATGTAGCCCAGGCTGGCTTTAGACTCCTAATTTTCCTTCCTCCATCTTTAAAATGCAGGAATCACAACACAGCTAGAATTTTGCTGTTAACTGATAACATGTGACATTGTGTATTAGCACTTGGTTGTCATATCACCTCCTGTCACTGCAACTCCCTGACAACATTAAGTGTTCCATGTATTTGTATTTGTTTCTCTTAGAATTATAGAAACCTGTTTGTATTTAGAATTTTTATCACTGGACAAAATGCCGTGAGTGCCAGTCAGCATTCTGGGGTCTTGTGCCGTTAGTCACAGGAGTCACTGCCACTGCATTCTTCTCCACCAGAGAAAGTGGCCTGGAAGCGAGCTGTGCGGGGAGTGCGGGAGATGTGTGATGTCTGTGAGACGACTCTCTTCAACATCCACTGGGTTTGTCGCAAATGTGGATTTGGGGTCTGCCTGGACTGTTACCGGCTGAGGAAAAGCCGTCCTCGAAGTGGTAAGTAAATACTGTCTGGGTAATTCTGAACATGACTAGGAGACATATTTATGAGCTTTGGCAATGGAATCAGACAGGAATGGGCTTCTGTCCCTCTTTAGCCTCATTGGTCTTTGTCATGACATCTTTTGTTTTGGGGGTGGGGAGGATTGGTTTTGTTGGTTTGGTTTTGGTTTTTTGGTTTTTATTTTTGGTTTTTCAAGAGACAGTGTTTCTCTGTAGCTTTGGAGCCTGTCCTGAACCTAGCTCTTGTAGAGCATGCTGGCCTTGAACTCAGAGATCTGCGTGCCCCTGCCTCCCAAGTGCTGGGATTAAAGACGAGCGCCACCACGGCCTGGCTGTCACGACATCTTTTTCTAAGACATAGAACATCTTTTTTTTTTTTTTTTAAATATTTATTTATTACATATACAATATTCTGTCTGTGTGTATGCCTGCAGGCCAGAAGAGGGCATAAGACCTCATTACAGATGGTTGTGAGCCACCATGTGGTTGCTGGGAATTGAACTCAGGACCTTTGGAAGAGTAGGCAATTCTCTTAACCACTGAGCCATCTCTCCAGCCCCAGAACATCTTTTTTTTAAAGATTTGTTTTTGTTGTACTCTTTTTACTCATTTTATTCCTTTGGCTTGGGGTGGGCCTGCCACCCAACTCCCACATGGAGTCTTAGTTTTTCTTATAAATGCCCAGCCTTAGCTTGACTTGTTTCTAACCAGTTTTTCTTAAATTAAATTATCTACCTTTTGCCTCTGGGCTTTTTCCTTTTCTTACTCCTGTAATCTTACTTTTACTCTTATTCCGTGGCTGGCTCACTGACTGGCCCCTAGCATCCTCTCTCCTCCCAGATTTCTCCTTCTATTTTTTCTCTCTGCCTGCCAGCCCTACCTATCCTTCTATCTCGGTACTAGCTATTCAGCTCTTTTATTTTATCAGATGTTTTAGACAGGCAGTGTTGGTGAAGGGAGGCTGCTTGTTCGGGTGCCAATTTGTTGCCACTTAGCTCTGAAATAATCACACAGAAAGTCTATTATTTAAATCACTGCTGGCCCATTAGCTCTAGCTTCTTATTGGCTAACTCTTACGTATTAATTTAACCATCTCCTTTAATCTGTGTGTTGCCATGTGGCAGTGGCTTACTGACAAAGTTTCTGAATGTCTTACTCGGGCAATGGCTCCACGTCATCTCTCTTACTCAACCTTCCTTCTCCCAGCTATTATCTTTTAATTATGTGAATGTATGTTCGTCTGCAGGTGTGTGCACAGGTGGGTGCCTCTTTTCACAGAGGCTAAAAGGAGGTATGGGATCCCCTGGAGCTGGAGGTATAGATAGTTCTGTGCAAACTTTTTGTTTTTTTCTTTCAAGACAGGGTTTCTCTGTAACTTCCTGGAACTAGCTCTTGTGGACCAGGCTGGCCTTGAACTCAGAGAGATCCGCCTGCCTCTGCTTCCCAAGTGCTGGGATTAAAGGCCTGCACCACCACCACCAGGCTGGGACTCTGTGCGGCCTTCTATGGAACCAAACTTCAATCCTTTGCAGAGCAGTATGCACTCTTGACTGCTGAGCCATCGTGCTAGCCCCTGTTCTAATTATGGGTAACTAGAGACTAGCCCTGCCCTCTGATCTTCAGGCAAGCTTTATTTGTTAGAGTACAAATATACATTTTCCTTTTTTGTCTAAAAGTTATAAGAAAAACTATATACCATAAGAACAATAACTATATACAATATGTAAATGCAGTAAATACATCAACAGTATCTACTCCATCAGCAACTGATGAAGTGATAAATTTAGAGAAAATAGAGACTGACGAATTTTGCCATAATAGGTGGGATAGTCCTTTAGATTTCCTACTTGACTGAGAAATCTGCCAGATGCTCTAGGCATATAGGCTGAAGAGGAATGCCCCAACATTACAGAAGAGCATATTGGGTAGTTATTTTGCTTACAAGCACTTCTATTTACTTAGGTGATATTATATCCTTCTGGAGTCTTTGAAAGAGATCCCCGAGCCTTTAAAAAATTTTATCTATGTGATGTTGAGTATCTTTTGGGGTTCTTATTGTCCATCCGTTTTGTTTAGAAACGTATATTCAGATTATTTGCTTCCCTTGGTTCTAGCTTAAGTTAGGAACCCCTTACCCCTTGACGTCCTCATCCTCATCTTGCCTCCTCAGAGATCCAGTGTAAACCTTTCTAACAGTTGGGTATCTATGTTGTTTGGTGGCTGGTTAGTTTTGTTAACACAGTCTCCCTTCATAGGCTGTGCTGCTGTCAAGCTCACTATTTTCTTACCTGCATCTCCTCAGTACTCCAAATTCTGAGACCATGGTTTCTAACACTGATCCAGCCTGCTTTTGTGATGCTGGTTGTCATGGCTGTAGCGTGCCAAGGGCATAGATTTTTGTTTTGTTTTTGTTTGGTGGGAGTGGGTGTTAGAGCTGAAGCAACTGGAACTTGAAAACCTGCACCCATCTCTTACACCATCTGTGGTTTCTTGAGCCAAGCCTTATTCTTTTCCCTTTTTTTTTTTTTTTTTTTTTGTGGGGGTGGGCTCGAGACAGGGTTTCTCTGTAGCATTTGGGCCTGTCCTGGAACTTGTAGACCAGGCTGTTCTCAAACTCACAGAGATCTGTCTGCCTCTGCCTCCTGGGTGCTGGGATTAAAGGCGTGTGCCATCACCACCCGGCTAGTTTCCTTTTTCTATAAAACAAAGATACCCATATTATCAGTACTTCCTTGTAACATTGCAGGTACTTAAATGAGTTCTATCTGAAATGCTCACACAGGACTGACACCTACTGAGCACTGCATCGATATTTACAGTTATCCTCTCTCCTGCCAGTGGGAGACTATAGGAATTGCTTTTCCGCTGTAAGCAGAAAGAAAACAAGAAATATTTAAAACCCTAGCTTCCCACATTTGCATCAGGCACCATGGGACTGTTATCTCTGAGAAATGGGATGAAGCAAGCTAGTTTCTGCTATGGCCTGGGCTCTGCCTAGCATCACATCAGCTTGGCAGCCTCACTGGATAAAGACAGATCCAAGTCTGCCTCAGACCTGAAGAGGAGAAGGTGCACAACTTAACAGCAGAGAACCATGTGGAGGTCCCTGTTTTCTGTGTAATGGATCTACACGAGTATGAGATGAAATTCCTTGGGGCCCAAAAATAATCCTTCAGAAAATAATTGGCAAGTAATTTTCAGAAATCACAATTTTAGAAAAAAGAAATGTTTTGTTTTGTTTTTTCTTCCCTGAGACAGGGTTTCTCTATGTAACAACCCTGGCAGTCCTGGAACTCACTTTGTAAGACTGGCTTTTGTCTTAACCTCTGAGACAGCACTTCGAAAGGTGAGGTAGGATTACAAATGGAGGCCAACCTGGACTGTTATACTAACACCTTCTTCCCTAGAAAAAGAAAAGAAAGAGCCACACACAAAAGTGTAGCATTTTCCCTCCTGAGTATTCTACCTGACTCGGACTGTTTGTTTAATATGTTTATTTGTATTTTGCCTGTGTTTTCTTAAAATTATAATCAAAATCAGACTTTTGATAAAGAAAATCTAGAAAGGTAGGAGTGGGTAGATAGCAGACTACTTATTACACACTTTATGTATAAGAATGGCAGCCAATTTATCAAAAACCGTATAGGCCAGAAAACAATGTAATAACATCTTAAAGTGTTGAAAACAAACAAGTCCATAATTAACACTCACAATATTTTTCAAATATGAGAAAAGAATGTTTTCAGACAGTTTAAGATCATATCTAGTTGCTGTGCAGTGTGCTGCTCCATTGCAGTGTGCTCAACAAGCTCTTTATTCTGGAAAGAAGGGAAGAAAGAAAAAGCAAGCTGTAAGAGAATAGAGGGGTGCCCAAATCCCATACGGTAGAAGTACCATCTCCTGAAATTGTCATCTGACCTTCACACACATGCCCTTAGCATACATGCCCTCAGAGGTACACAAGTAAAGAGTTTAAAAAGAGAGCGAGGGGGCTGGACAGATGGCTCAGAGGTTAAGCGCACTGACTGCTCTTCCAGAGGTCCTGAGTTCAATTCCCAGCAACCACATGCTGGCTCACAGCCATCTATAATGAGATCTGGTGCCCTCTTCTGGCATGAAAGCATACATGGAAGGAATGTTGTATACATGATAAATAAATAAATCTTTAAAGAGAGAGAAAGAGAATTCTCCAGGAGGTGGTAGCGCACATCTTTAATCCCAGCAGGGGCAGGTGGATCTCTTTGAGTTCAAGGCCTGCCTGGTCTACAGAGCTAGTTCCATAGCAACTGAGAAACCCTGCCTATAAACAAAAAAACCAAAAAGAAAGAGAGAGAAGGAGAATCATTACCATAACTGCTGTAATAAATTATAAGTATTCAGACAACAAAAGGTGGTATGATGGGGGCTGGAGAAGTGACTCAGCAGTTTCAGAGCACTAACTAACTGCTCTTCCAGAGGACTTGGGTTCAAGTCCCAACACCCACATGGCTATTCACATATAACAAGCAGACAAACACCAATGCACATAAAATAGGAATAATTAGCTAAACGTATACAAAAATTTTAAAGTAGTATGATACTGATAGTTGAGGTTCGCACAAACAAACGAAAAATATTCTTTTTAATATATAAAACACTTCCCTCCCACACACTCATTTTTAATCAATTTTTCAAAATAATTGCTAGGCAAGATACAGTGTTGCACACCTGTAATCACAGTCTAGGAATCAGCCAGGAGGATCGTGTTGGGAGCCAGCCTGAGCTGTGTTTGAGGAGGGCCTCTCAAAACTAATTAGAGAAGTGGCAGGATGACTCCGTGAGCAGAGGCCCCAGGACCCACAAGGCAGAAGGAAAGGACTGGCTCCTGCTGGTCGTTCTACTTTTCCATGCATGAGAGCACACATGCACACAATAAATAAACGTAATTTAAAGAGAAAACACAACACAGTCGGTGTATTTAGGAGATTTTAACTTTAAAACAAATTGTGTACAGGCTCGAGAAAGATGGCTTAATGGTTAAGAGACCGATTGCCCTTCCTGAGGAGCCAGGTTCGATTCCCAGCACCCATACAACAGCTCACAACTATCTCCAGCTCCAGTTCCAAGGGAATCAAATAAAAATAGTGTCCCGGGAGCCAAGTTCCAGGACACCCAAGGCTACACAGAGAAACCCTGTCTCAAAAAGAAAAATAAATGAATAAATGAAAATGAAATAGTATAAAGAAAAAAAGAAAAGAAAATGTGTGACAAGTAGTAGCTCAAAGTTGTATAAAGGTGTGTGTGTAAAAGCACTACATCATATATAAAGTGGTGTGATAATAGTTGAAGATAGGCTATGATGAGTTAAAGATTGGTGCTGTTAACTTAGAGCCATTACTAATAGTGGCAGCTGCCGGGCGTTGGAGAGATGGCTTGTTGGCCTGAGAGTGTTTCTGCTCTTGGAAAGGTGTTTCCTTCTCAGCATCCACATCAGGCTCTTCCTAGCCCAGGGATCTGATGCCCTCTTCTGGGCATGGCAGGCACCTGTACACATACAGCATTCATTCAGACACAGGTGAAGTTGTCTTTTTTTAAATCTACTTTAAATCTGTCAGTAAACCCCTGTAATTTTATACTCAGGAGAAGAAAGCAGAAGTGTTCAGAGTTAAGGGCTGACTTTGGCTACATAGCAAGTCTGAGATCCATCCTATCTCAGGAAACCTACTTTACACCAGGCAGACTCTGAAACCAATCTGGACTACAACCTGAGCTCAAATCCAGTCTCCACTCTATAACACAATCCTGGCTAAGACAAAACAAAGTCTTAAGTGGTGCCCAGTACAGATGACTTTATCCTGTATACATCTGTTTATATGAAATTCATTAAGGAAAAGTTCAGTACTGGGCATGGTGGCGCACACCTTTAATCCCAGCACTTGGGAGGCAGATGCAGGAAGATCTCTGAGAGTTCGAGGTCAGCCTGGTCTACAAAGCGAGTTCCAGGACGGACTCCAAAGCTACTGTGAAACCCTGTCTCAAAAGAACAAAAACAAGCAACAAAAAATTCAGTATTATAAGATTGAGTAGGACTAGGGATATCACTGTGTTGGTAGTGTTTGCCTGGGTGTGGCGGATGTAGTCAGTCATTTCTGTAACATTTGCCTTTGTCAGGTAGAGGCGGGAGATCAGTGTCTGCAACCTCTTTAGCTACGTGAGACCTCATCCAACAATCAGAACAGTGGTGGCCAAGATTGAAAGAAAGTTATGAAGAACGAAGTTTGTAGAGGAAACAGTGATCTGCTTTAGATTGTTGATTTATGTTTTTTATGAAGTGTTACACAGTAGAACAGATTGTAATTTTTAGTTTTTTAAGTTAGCTGTTGCTTTTTTTGGCCATGCAAAAAGAAAAGTGGCCTTTAAGGTTCTGAAACTTCCACTCACTAAAGAAGATCCATCTATGACCCTATAAAATAAGTAATTAATTTCTGTTTCAGAGACCGAAGAAATGGGCGATGAAGAAGTTTTCTCCTGGCTGAAGTGTGCCAAGGGGCAGTCCCATGAACCAGAAAACCTCATGCCTACACAGATCATCCCTGGCACAGGTAAGTAATTCTGTTTTGAGACTGGGTTAAAAAGTGCTATGTGCTTATTTGTTTTGGTTTTGTAGTGATGAGTATTGAACTCTTGGTCTTTTACACGATAGATCAACACTTTACCACAGAGCTCTATCCCTGGCCTCAGTGTGGTTTAGTCCCTCTGTGTGTGTGTGTTTGAGACAGGGTCTCACTGTGTAACCCTGGCTGGCCTGAACCTTGATGTGTAAAATAGGCAGGCCTCAACTCACAGAGAACTATTTGGCTCCTTGTTTTGTTTTAGTCTTTTAAATTTTTATTTGTCTACTTACTGTGTGTGTGTGCATGTGTGTCTGCATATACGTTTGCCTCCTACATGCTTGGTTCCCATAGAATAGGGCATCAGATCCCCTAGACCTGGAATTACAAAGGGTTGTGAGTCACTGTGTAGATGCTGGGAATTGAACCCTGTACTCTGTAAAAAGCACCCAGTGCTTTTAACCTCTGGGCTATCTCTTCAGCCCCATTGTTTTAGCATTTTTTTCCCTTAATTTATTTTTTTTTTAAATTTATTTAAAGAAGGCACCAGATGTCATTGTAGATGGTTGTGAATTATCATGGGAATTGAACTCGGGACCTTTGGAAGATCAGTCGGTGGTGCTCTTAACCTCTGAACCATCTCTCCAGCCGTTTTCCTTAATTTTTCAAAGATTTATTTTTATTTCATATTATTTATGTCTTTATGGTATGTCTGTGTGCAAGTACCCATGGAGCTCAGAAGTAGGGGAAGTAGGGTATCCGATGCCCTGGAGCTGGAGTTACCCGTAGCTTTGAACTCTCTGACCTGAGTACTGGGAACTGAACTCAAGTCCCTTAGACGAGTAGAAAGCACTGTTAACTGCTGGTTCACTCTAGCACAGACTGGCCTGGAAGTCACTATTTGAGTAAGCTTCTTGCAGTTAGGATCCTTTTGCCTCCCAGTTCTAAGTACTGGGAATACAGGAGTCTGCCACCACATGCTATTTTCTACAGCCAGGAATGACCCTGAGGCCACACCCCCACCTACGGGAAGTGATTTTATCTAGTGTAAGCAAGCCTTGAATTTAGGAACAGTGACTGGTTAGCTGGGCCAGAGTAAAAGAAAGCAGTAGCAGTCACTAACTCTGTTGCTACCTTTCTTATTGCTGGGACAAAATTCTGAGAAAAGTCACTTAAGAGTTGTATTCACAGTCAGGATTCGGAAGTTAAATGCTAGTGTTCATCTTGCTTTTCCTTTGTATTCAGTTCTGGGCCTCAAATCCTCCAGATCTCGCCACCCACACTGAGAATGGCCCTTTCTCTTCCCTTAAACCTTTCTGGAAATGTGCCTCGGCTCACTCAGAGTTGTGTTACCATAGTGATTCTAAATTTGATCAAGCTGACAATAATAATAAACCATCATACCAGACTTCTGGCTTTGGGCTTATAAAAAAAAATCTAGCTAAGGGCTGGAAAGAATGGTTCATTGGATGAGAGTTTTTGCTACTCTTGCAGAATACCTAGTCCAGTTCCCAGCACCCACATAGGACAGCTCACAACCACCTACAACTCCAGTTCTGGGGGGATTCACTTCTCTCTCTCTCTCTACCTTCAAGGGCAACTAGGCATGCATTTAGTATACATGCGTACATACAGACATTCTTGACCAAGCAGTGGTAGCACATGCCTTTAATCCCAGCAAAATAAATCTTTTTATAAAAAGGACAAAAAAGGCAACTGAGAACTGCCATGATGCTTCGTAACTATAACCCCTGTACTCGGGAAGTAGAGGTAGGAGGGCGATTGCCCTGGATTGGAGGCCACAGTAAATTCAGGTCAAATAAACAGTAATAGAAATATCCAGCTGTGGGCTGGGGGATTTAGCTCAGAACCAGGCCCTGGGCCCTGTCTCAGCTTGCAGGGGGATATCCAGCTGAGTGTAAACCTTGAGCCTATGAAGATGGCAGTCATCTTGCAAGAAGGAGTGACTGCTTATGTTTGGGTCATAATCCCAGTTTACTGCAGCAGTTCCTCCTCAGCAGCTGAAAGCCAACCTGGGTCCACGGATGCCGTCTCAAAACAAACAAGAGCCTTAGTACGCTGTGACACGGGCCGGTGTTCAGTGGTCCTTACTGTTTCCTTCTCCCCTAGCGCTGTACAATATTGGAGACATGGTACATGCTGCCCGGGGAAAGTGGGGGATTAAAGCAAACTGCCCTTGTATTAGTCGGCAAAGCAAATCTGTGTTGAGACCTGCTGTCACCAACGGAATGTCACAGGTACAGAGTGTGGGGCCACAACTGAGAGGGATTAGGCGCTCTCTCTCTCTCTCTCTCTCTCTCTCTCTCTGTCTCTCTCTCTCTTTTGGATTCTTTTTATAATTTTATTTAAGAATTAGTTCCAGAAGGGGCAGGACTCGGGGTCGGGGGTGGTGGTGGGAAAGTGAGAGCAGGGATGGGGTGTGAGATGTCATAGGGACCTGTCGCTTTATATGCCAATTAAAACGAAATCAGTGCTTTAAGTTTAAAAGGAAAAGAAAACTTTTTAAAAATAATCCATTCTAACTACTCAGGGTGCTGAGATGACAGACAGAATTGTGAGTTTTGAAGCCTCTTTGGGCAATGTATCAAGACTACTTCTCAGGAGCAAAGTCAAAACAACAAATAAAACTCATCTACAACTTACATTTTATCTCTTTTCATCCCCAAAAGGTTTTTATGGAATCAACATTTATTTATTTACTTACTTACTTATTTATTTTTGGGTGAATAATTCCTCTGTGTGTACACCTGCCAGAAAGGGCACCAGATCCCACTATAGATGGTTGTGAGCCACCATGTGGTTGCTGGGAATTGAACTCAAGAAAGACCTCTCGAAGAGCAGTCAGCTCTTAACTAGGGAGCCATCTCTCCAGCCCCTATAGGATTAATTTTTAATCTCTGGTTTTCTGTTGTAGAAGTGATTTAAAACATACTTTAAGTAATGAATTTCGAGTGTTACTGGTTTCTACAGAACCTAGTATAAACTGCTGGCACATTGTAGACTCATTAAGTGTGGATGAAATAACATTGTTTGAGACAGTTGAGGTTATTCTTCCCAGACTGGTGTAGTGTCAGAGCCACTTCTACCAAACCCTCCCCTCTGTAGTGCTTCTAACTGGCACTCTCACCGTCCCTGCTTCAGCTCCCCAGTATAACCCCTAGTGCCTCTTCTGGAAACGAAACTACCTTCTCGGGTGGAGGTGGAGCTGCAGCGATCACAAATCCAGAGCCGGACCAAGTCCCCAAAGGCCCCAGCACCGACAGCAGGTCTGAGGAGTCCCTAAGAGCAGAAGGCCCTGCATCAAATAGCAATAGTGAACTAAAAGCCATCAGGCCCCCGTGCCCTGACACGGCCCCTCCCTCTTCTGCCCTGCATTGGTTGGCAGATTTAGCAACTCAGAAGGCTAAAGAAGAAACAAAAGGTGAGATAAACCGCCCATGCCTTGTGGGAGGAAAATTGGGTTATTCTGTGATTTATTTGTTTGTTTGATTTTCAAACTGACTTGTAACCATACCCCTTTAGAAAAGTGCCACTTCTTTTCTCTGGCTGATCATACAGCGTGAGTGGTTCTCTTCTGTTTGGGTTGGTTGGTTTGTTTGTTTGTTTGTTTGAAAGTAGAGTGATCCTGGGTCCTTACCTAGACCTCCTTGATCAGAATTGAGATTTTTAGTGAACTTCTTTCCCTCCTGGTTTATTTCTGCAGCCAGAATTGACAGCAAGACTTAGAAAAGCTGATTATTTTGAAGTAGGGCTCAGCTGGCCTTGAAAGGAGCAGCCTATATTTTTTGTTTGTTTTGTTTTGTTTTTTGAGGCAGGGTTTCTCTGTGTAGCCCTGGCTGACCATGAACTCTCCCTGTAGATAAGGCTGGCCCCACTCACAGACTTGCCAAGCAGCCTTTTTAAATGGGCTTCAGAACCACCTGGGAATTGTTTTTCAGATGCACATTCTTTCATCCCACTTGAAACCATTAAGTTTGCCAGGCGGTGGTGGCGCACGCCTTTAATCCCGGCACTTGGGAGGCAGAGGCAGGCGGATCTCTGAGTTCAAGACCAGCCTGGTCTACAAGAGCTAGTTCCAGGACAGGCTCCAAAACCACAGAGAAACCCTGTCTCGAAAAGCAAAAAAAAAAAAAAAAAAAAAAGAAAGAAAAAAAAAAGAAACCATTAAGTTAGAATTTCTTGAGATAAGGACTGATCTCCATTTTTAAAAAGCATCACTGACAATTTCAGTTCAAGAGATCTGGAGACCATGTAAAATGTCTTAGAAGATAAAAGGTAGATGAGAAAAAGGGAATTTTGTGATCCAAACAGAGGAGAAGAAGAAAGAAGTAGAGAATTTTTCTGTATCCCTGAAACCTATGTTCATAGCTTTTCATTTTGGAGGCGGGGTGGGGTGGGTGGGTATCTTTCCTAGGGGTGTTAGGAGAGTCAGTATCTACAGACTGTTCCTCCCCGTCTAATGCTCTCTCTTTTTATGGTCTTACAGAAGCAGGGTCCCTGAGGTCGGTGCTCAATAAAGAATCTCATTCACCCTTTGGGCTGGACTCATTCAACTCCACTGCAAAAGTCTCTCCATTGACTCCAAAGCTTTTTAACAGTCTATTACTGGGTCCCACTGCCTCCAACAGCAAAACTGAGGGTTCTAGCCTTCGAGACCTCCTTCACTCTGGGCCCGGAAAACTTCCTCAAACCCCCCTGGACACAGGCATACCCTTCCCACCTGTTTTCTCTGCGTCCTCAGCAGTAAGTGTCCATCTACAACCTCGCCTGGGTTTTTGCTACACTCCCATCCTCTACACATAATTGCTTTCGTAGCACTTATAATGTGTTCTATTGTATTGCTCTTGCCTCTGCAAAGGCATTTTATTCACTAGTACATATCATTAGTGTCGCAGTACTTGTACAGTATTGTTTTTAATCGGTGCTGTGAAAAAAAGGTCTTCCTGGTTTATGTTTCTTTTTTTTTTTTTCAGGTCGTGTGTAGTGTGGGTGTGTATGTATGTGTATGCACGCACGCATGCAAGAGAGAGAGAGAGAAGTCTGGGAGTCAGTTCTCCCATCCAGTGGGTAGTAGTAATCAGGCCACCAGACTTGACACCAAGTGTCTGTTTACCTGCTGAACTATCTGACCTGCCTAGCATCAGCATTTATTTCTTGAGTGTCATTTCAGAAATGTTATATGTATATAGTTTTCTTCTGTTTTACACACGTTTGTTCTACAGTTTTCTTTTCTGCTTCTCAGTGTTTATTTATACCTTGTAGGTCATTTATTTCAAAAATATATGTTGTACTTGTGAATACCCCCATTTCCTTTTCTAATTTTTTTTTTTACCAGAACATTGTATGATTATATATTTTTAGTCGGTTGAGGCAGAGTCTCACTGTGTAGCCCTGGCTGGGAATGCTGTGTTGACAAGACTAGGCTTGAACTCACAGAGACCCACCTGCCACCACACCCTTATCCACAGGATAAGTGGATAGTACTTGAGACAGGATTGGATTTATAGGAGTTCTCTATTCTGTGACTTGCCCTGCTTTCCCATCAGCTGAAGTGGGAGAAATTCAAAGTAGATGGTAACAGAAGGACTGGAAAGAAAAGAAACCACTTTTGGAGTATATGGCTCTTAGATAGTGATTACTAAGGTAAATGTTCTGTGGCAGAAAACTACTGCCTTCTGTTACCTGAGTGGGCACTCACCTGCTCCCCATCTTTCCTCTGTGTGTCCCAGAGTAGAAACAAAGTCCTCAGACTTGGTGGCAAGCACCTTTAGCCGCCAATCTATCTCACCAGCCCAGAAAACCACTGCCTTGTTAAGTCTGCTCAGGTACAATTGCAGTATCTCCCAGGCATACCATCCAAAGAGAGATTTTCCTGAACTAACCTTTATAAATCACTTAGTGTTTTATGAACTCTGTAGTCTACATGCATGTACTTAACACAGAGTTTAAAGCTAGAGATATATTTCCCAGGTCTTAAGAGATCTCCGGGCTTGGAGGTACATGCCTTTAATCCCAGCACAAGGCAGAAGCAGGTTTCCATCTTGGTCTCAGAGCGAGTTCTAGGACAGCCAGGGCTACACAGAGAAACCCTGTCTTAACAAAAACAAAAAATCTTTCTGTTCTTTCATAAATGTAAGAAAATGCTAAAGGTCAAGAAATTTAAGATAGTAAAGATTAGTGACTTTATGTCTTCCCTGCAATTACAGAAGACATCTTATTAATTGGATAGATTAAAGCCTGGAACTATAACTGTGAGACAGTCCTCTTTTTTGTTAATGTTATCATGGTGCTTGAGTCAAACTCACCTGAGGGTTTGTCTGTGAAGGGATTGAAGAACAAAGCCAGCCTGCCCAACTTCCTCGACCACATCATCGCCTCAGTGGTGGAAAATAAGAAAACCTCAGATTCTTCAAAGCGGTCCTGCAACTTGACTGATACCCAAAAGGAAGTGAAGGAGATGGTGATGGGGTTAAATGTGCTAGACCCCCATACCTCTCATTCCTGGCTCTGTGATGGGAGACTTCTGTGTCTCCATGACCCCAGCAACAAAAACAATTGGAAGATCTTCCGAGAATGCTGGAAACAAGGCCAGGTAAGAAACACTGAGTTGATTTTATAGCCTGCTGTTTGCCTGGCAGTCACATCTGCCAGGATAATCCCAGGCATATAGAAAATTCATGGAGGATATCCTTCTGTTTCTAGTTGATTTTGCTTTTCAGAATCGAGGAAAGCTGGGTGGTAGTGACAATCACCTTTAATCCAAGTGCTTGGGAGACAGAGGCTGGCGGATCTCTGAGTTCAAGGCCAGCCTGGTCTACAAACAGCAGTCCAGGACAGCCAGAGCTGTTACACAGACAAACCCTATCTCAAAAAACAAAACGGAGTCAAGGAAATCCCTAAGAACACTTTGTGCTTGGTATTTGTAAAGGGCAGTTGAACTCCAGTGGGTGCTGAGCTGCCATTAATGATGGCACCTTTGGAGGAGAATCCCCGAGTGTAGGGTTTGGAGAGTGAAGGTAGGAGCTGAGTAGCAGGATTCTTGGTAAGTGCTTCAGTCTTTAGTGATGTGTCTGATAATGCGATGGTGCTCCATGACACTTAGACTTGAGCAGGTGCTAAGGAGGGAGGAGCTTATGGAGTCACCTGGTTTGCATTGTACTGTGAGGCAGTGTTCTCAAAGTTGCATTAGCCAGCAATGTCTCTTCACCTCAGAATACTGATAGACACCAAGAAAGAAAAGTGTCTTCGGAGGATGTTTCCCCAGAATGAGAGCCTAGAATAACAATAGAGGCAAGACAGTTTCCCATTCTCTTTAACTAATATATGGGAATCTGTAGATTACATTCTGGAGAAAAACAATCGATGTTCATGGAGAGCAATATTTCCTAGATGATTTTGATGGGTTTATCTTTGTTTCCACAGCCAGTGCTAGTGTCAGGGGTACATAAAAAGCTCAAGTCTGAACTCTGGAAGCCAGAAGCCTTTAGCCAGGAATTTGGAGACCAGGATGTGGACTTGGTGAACTGCCGGAACTGTGCTATCATTTCTGATGTCAAAGTTCGGGATTTCTGGGATGGCTTTGAGATTATATGCAGTAAGTAACTTTGCTTTCTGATTATGCAGTGACAACAGTAGTAAGCATCTAAATACTTGGTCCTGTACCTGAAATAACAAACTGTATCCTCTTGTTGGGAGGAGCCTTCTGTCTTCATGCCAGCTCTACACAGCTGCGTGGCAGTCCTGTGGCTCCCAGAACAGGCCTGCAGTTCAGGGAGCATATGGCTTGCATGGAGCTCTGTTGCACGGAGGAGGGGAGCAGGAGTCCTATAGAATGGAGAGATAGTGCACATACTACTACAGGAAGTGGAGAATCAAAGTGAAATAGGAGGCTTGTCTCCAGAGACTCGGTCCTGCGAAGAGTAGCAGTAGGGGTGTATAAGAATGTTGTCTGTCTTCTAGAGAGACTGAGGTCGGAAGATGGGCAGCCAATGGTGCTCAAACTCAAAGACTGGCCCCCTGGGGAAGATTTTCGGGACATGATGCCAACAAGGTTAGTGACTTCAGAGAATGTTGTCTTCAGAGGCTTATGCCTGGCTGAAACCAACACAGCAGAATCACAGAGAAGTGAATGCTCTTTGTCTTCCTTCCTGCCCTTTCTTAGGTTTGAGGATCTGATGGAGAATCTTCCTCTGCCAGAATATACCAAACGGGATGGCAGGCTCAATCTCGCTTCTAGGCTACCCAGCTACTTTGTAAGGCCTGACCTGGGCCCCAAGATGTACAACGCCTATGGTATGAGGGAGAGGACAGAATTAACCCTTTGGGGACTGCTGTTCTCATTTCATACACAGACACGATAGGGAGCATCATACCTGGGGTAGTTCTGAATGTTTCCTTTGTTAGTACTGATTGGTGTAACATTCATAAGCTTGCATATCTGTTAGAAACAGTTTCTTCTCACCAGGTGGTGGTGGTGCATACCTTTAATCCCAGACAGGCAGATCTCTGTGAGTTCCAGGACAGCCAGGACTATACAGAGAAACCCTGTCTTGAAAAACAAAAACTCAAAAATTCTACTCCAACAGACATATCCTTAGTTTTATTCTTTAGTTTTACTAAAACTAAAGAATGCCAGCTACCTTGCTGTCATACCTGTATTCTATAAAGTTCAAAAATGACCTAAAATAAAATACTGAGCCGGGCAGTGGTGGCGCACGCCTTTAATCCCGGCACTTAGGAGGCAGAGGCAGGCGGATCTCTGTAGGTTCGAGACCAGCCTGGTCTACAAGAGCTAGTTCCAGGATAGGCTCCAAAACCACAGAGAAACCCTGTCTCGAAAAACAAAACAAACAAACAAAAAATAAAATAAAATACTGTGAAAATTGAGTTCTGTCTGAATGTCCCTAATGCCTGCATGTTTTGAATTTCAAGAAAGGGACCATTTTCAAAAGTGGCTTGGTTTCATGATGGATGTTGATGCTATGTGGACCAAGCTAGAAATTAGTCTTAACCTGTATAAAAGATAAAGAAGAGTGCTTTAGCTGATGCTCATTCCTCTCCTCTCTCCTCCCTCTGTGTGCTAGAGATGTAACCTAGGGCCTGAGCACATTAGTCAGCACTCTACTGCTGGACTGCCTCTCCCCCGGGGCATCTCTTTAAGGACTTTCTAGAGCACCTTTTCAGGCTTGACATGAGTCCTTTGTAATAGCACCTGTTCATCTGTTCATCTTTCATATTTTCCTCCCACCTTTAGGCTTGATAACAGCAGAAGACAGAAGAGTTGGTACAACAAACCTTCATTTAGATGTGTCTGATGCTGTTAATGTGATGGTGTATGTTGGGATCCCTGTCGGGGAGGGTGCTCATGATGAAGGTAGGATTTCTAGAAAAATTGCTTTAATGTGGTTTCCCCTAAGAAGTAGAGTAACCAATGCAAGTTTCTTCCAGGCTTAGTGTGTACCTGGTGGATATTGTTAGACCACGGGAAATTCTAGCAGAGTGCTGCTTGGAAACTTTTGACTGGGTTCTTGCCTTTCAGGGAATGTCCAAATATGAAGTCTGGCAAAGAAAGGACAGAGAGGACTGGGGCTTTGGCACATTGCTTAAAAGTACAGTGCCCCTTGAATTTGGTACCCAGCACCCACAAGAGGCTCACAACCTTCTGTAATTCCAACTCCAAGGAATTTGATGCCCTCTGGCACCTGCTAAATATTAAAAAAATAAGAAGGGCTGGGGAGATGGCTCAGTGGTTAAGAGCACTCACTACTCTTCCACAGGTCCTGAGTTCAATTCCCAGCAACCACATGTTGGTTCACAACCATCTGTAATGAGATCTGGTGCCCTCTTCTGGTGTGCAGGCATATATGGAGGGAGAATGTTGTAAACATAATAAATAAATAAATCTTTTAAAAAAAATAAGAAGAAAGGACTTCTGGACAGTGGTGGTGCACTTCGTTAGTCCCAGCACTCGGGAGGCAGAGGCACATGGGTCTCTGTAAGTTTAAGGCCAGACTGGTCTACCAAGCGAGTTCCAAAACAGTCAGGACAGCTACACAGAGAAACTGTCTCAAAAAGTGAAGGGATAAAAAGACAGGACTGACCCATCTGCTTGACTCATTAACCTTATCAACTGTAGAATGATGAATGGCAGAGCCAGGTCGTGTGCACAAAGATGAAACATAAAGGTTGAGTTGGTAAAGTGTCAACAGCATGATGACCAGAGTTTGATTTCCATAAGCAGCCGGGAGTGATCATGCACACCTTTAGTCCCAACACTTGGGAGGAAGAGGTAGGTGGATCTCTAAGAGTGTAAGGCCAGCCTGGTCTACATAGTGAATTCTGGGCCAGCCTAGGGTACAGTGAGACCCTGTTGTTCTTCCCTTCCCCCACACGGATCACTGGCATCCAGCTCAGGTCATCAGACATGATGGCAAGAGCCCTTACCTGCTAAACCATCTCATCAGCCCCCATATGAGTTTTGATTTTTTTTTTAAAAAAAAACAAAACAAAACAAAACAGGATCTATGTAGAACTCCATATGTAGTCCAGGGAGGCTTTAAACTCATGGAGATCCACTTGCCTCTGCCTCAAGTGCTGGGATTAAAGGCGTGCACCACCACTGCCTAGTAAGCTTTGATTCTTGTGATATTACTTAGAGAAGAACAGAGACCAAACTTGTTCTGGTTGGACATTTTCCCCTAAAGGTTACTTTGTCATCACCACTTTGTTCTTTTCAGAAGTCCTCAAAACAATTGATGAGGGCGATGCTGATGAGGTGACCAAGCAGAGGATTCATGACGGAAAAGAGAAGCCGGGGGCCTTATGGCACATCTATGCAGCCAAGGATGCAGAGAAGATCCGAGAGCTCCTCAGGAAGGTATGCCTCCAGCGGGGTGATACCCCCAGCTCCAGGCTGTGGTCTAGACAGCTACCAAGGTCTCTCCTGTGAAGTCTCTTGGTAGTAAAGACCTATTTGTACAAGGCATGGTAGGGTACACCTGTAGCACTTGAGTGCTGATGTCAGGAAGATCACAGAGGCCGACCTCGACTACCTGGAGAGACCCTATCTCAAAAAAAAAGAAAAAGAAAAGCAAGAACTTGAGGCTGGTGGGCTGACTCGGCAGTTGAGTCACATGGTTCAGTGCCCAGCATCCACATGGATGTTCATGGTCCTTGTAAATCATCTGAACTCTTTGGGCACAAAGCACACATGTGGTAAACAGATTTAGATCATATATGCAAGCAAAACACTCATACACATAAAATAAAAATAAGTCTTTTTAAAGGGGGGGGGTTGTAGAATGATGCCTCAGTAGTTAAGAGCACTTTTCTTCCAGAGGTCCTGAGTTCGATTCCCAACTACCACATAGTGACTCAAACCATCTGTAATGAAATTCAATGTCCTCTTCTGGCATGAAGCAGTATATGCTCAAGTAAAGCACTCATATACATAAAATACATAAAATTTGACTAGACCTGGTGGTGTGTGTCTTTAATCCCAGCACTCAGGAGGCAAAGACAGGCAGATCTCTGAGCATTCAGGACAACCTGGTCTACAGAGCAAGTTCCAGGCCAGCAATAGCTACAGAGAAACTCTGTCTCAAAAACGAATAAATAATAAACAAAAGCTGGGTTTGGAGTTTGGTGTTAGAATGCTTATCTAGTGTGCATAAGGTTCTGTGTTCCATCTTCAGCACTGCGGGGAAGCAAAGAAAGGGGACCTATTGGTTGAGAAATCTTTCAGAATGCGCAAGGGGCCTGAGCTCACACTAGAACATGTTCAACAGAATAAAGAAGATAGTGTTCTTTGTGTGCTTAAGGGATAGTACATTCCTAGGATGTTCCCTACATCTTTCTCCCCCTATATATGCATACTGGTAATAAATGTTGAGGTAATAAGAAGCTTCTTTTTTGTTGTTCATTTTCAAGACAGGGTTTCTCTGTGTAGCCCTGGCTGTCCTGGAACTCACTCTGTAGACCAGACTGTGCTGGAACTCAGCAGTTTCACCAGCCTCTGCCTCCCTCCTGAGTGCTGGGATTAAAAGCATGCTAAAGAGTACTTGAACACGTGTTCTCTGAAACGTTCATAGCCACCTGAACTGGAACGGAACCTAGCTACACAGCTACCCTCGATGAGGATACAACATGTCTAGTGTGAGGTGGTGCTGGACAGTGGGGGAGTCTTTCGTGTCACCATAATTAACACCATAATAACACAATTTTTAAACCTGCAAATCCTTTTTGGACTTTTCCATGTGTTTTTAGAGCACAGTTGGCTGTGGGTAAACGAAACTGTTGAAACCGTGGGCAAGGAAGGGCTACTTTATTAATTCTTCCTTTTTTTGGATTTTGATTATAACTTCAGGTTGGAGAAGAGCAAGGCCAAGAGAATCCTCCTGATCATGACCCAATTCATGACCAAAGTTGGTATCTGGACCAGATCCTCCGGAAGCGACTCTTTGAGGAGTATGGCGTGCAAGGCTGGGCCATCGTGCAGTTCCTGGGTGATGCTGTCTTCATACCTGCTGGAGCCCCGCACCAGGTGAGTTGAACAATGGAGACCGGCTCCACAGCCCCATGGGCTTTGGTGCTTGGCTTGTCTCTTGAGTTTAGTTTTCAGTGGCAGGATCAGACTGGGTGCTCTAATACCATGGCTTGTTAGTTTTTAACTTTATTCCTTGTAACTTTAAATGCTTGGTTTTTGTTTGTTTGTTTTATGGTAGTTGTTTTCTGTTTTGTTGTTGCTGTTTCTGTTTTCTTTGGTTGGTTTTTTTGGGGGGGGGGGGGGCGTTATCCAGGAAGCCCTCAAACTCACAGAAATCTTTGTCTCCCAAGTACTAGGATTAAGAGTGTGCACCACCACTCCTAGCCATAAACTTTTTGTTTTGTTTTCAAGACAGGGTCTCACTTTGTAGCCCTGGCTGCCTGGAACTCCCACTGTAGACCAGGCTGGTCTCAAACTCACAGAGATCCTCCTGCCCTCCTCCCAAGGTGCTGGGATTAAAGGCATGTGCTGCCACAGCCCACTGGCATTTTCGTATGAGTTACTGAATCTCTGAGGTCTACATTCTCCTGCTATACTTGCCTCCTCCCAGGTTCACAATCTGTATAGCTGCATTAAAGTCGCAGAAGACTTCGTATCCCCAGAGCACGTGAAGCACTGTTTCCGCCTAACACAAGAGTTCAGGCATCTCTCCAACACCCATACGAATCATGAGGATAAACTACAGGTAAATGGTCCCTCCTTCACTCACACTGACTTCCTATCTAATGCTCACAGACACACAAAGACACATTCTCCTCGTGGCTGTTTTCTGGTAGAGAAGTGACTGGGAAACAGCAGATACCTAACCATTTCAGTTGGGTTTTTGAGTTTCGATTATTGGTTTGTTTTTGGAACGCTGCCTCAAATAGCCCAGGCTGACCTTGAACTCCTGATCCTCCTATTTCCAGCTCCTTTACAGGAATTTATTATCCACTCATCTTAATGTATGCCTATAACCCAGCTGAAGCACAAATTCCAGGCTGACCTGAACTCCTGAGTAAGCCCTGTGTTGTGTGTGTATGGAGGGGTCTTTTTAATCTACCCATTTCCTATGTAATGATTCCCTAGTTCTCAGTCCTTGGGAGTTCTAGTGTTGATAACTGAGTAGGCTTGCATCCCTGCTCGGGATATAAGAAAATACTGTGGGGGGCTGGAGAGATGGCTCAGTGGTTAAGAGCATTGCCTGCTCTTCCGAAGGTCCTGAGTTCAATTCCCAGCAACCACGTGGTGGCTCACAACCATCTGTAAAGATGTCTGGCGCCCTCATCTGGCCTTCAGGCATACAAACAGAATATTGTATACATAATAAGTAAATAAAAACAAAATACTGTGGGAGGGAGGAAGGGTCCTGTTCCTTTGTACATTGTTCACGGTGCTGGGAACTGAATGTGCCCAGGCTGTGCACGCGGTTGGCAGGTCCTTTACTGCTCAAGACAGGTTCTTACTAAGTTGTTCAGGCTGGGCTTGAACTCTCTGTAGCCCAAGCTAGCTTAGAACTTATCATCCTCCTGCCTCATGCTCAAGAGTAGCTAGAATTATAAGCCTATGACAACAGGCCCAACTTAGTCAAAAAGTGGGACTCATCATTCATCACAATAGAAGGTGCCACAGGTAGCAAGCCTGCACTTGTTCCAGGACCACAGCTGGTGACATATTTGTCCCTACAGCCTTCGGGGATAAGAAGCTTCTCAACTACCACGTCCTCAGATTCATCTGCATTAAACTTGGAGGAGCCACACTTTGACAAGTGGGCCTTCTGGTGGTCAGAGAACTTGAACTTGGCCATGTACAGGGCCTCAATCACATGTCCCTTATTCTGCAAATCAGTGCAGATGGACATTCTTACATTATATATACTCATATTAATAGAAGCAATATAAATGTACCGATTTCATACCCCACCTCTTCCAGGTCTCAACTGGTAGACTGTCTTTTTACTCTTAATGCCTTTTTTGGTTTTTTGAGGCAGGGTTTCTCTGTAGCTTTGAAGCCTGTCCTGGAACTAGCTCCTGTAGACCAGTCTGGCCTCGAACTCACAGAAATCCTCCTGCCTCTGCCTCTTGAGTGCTGGGATTAAAAGTGACCACCACCCAGCTGCCTTTTTTAAAAAATTATGTATCTGTTCGTGTGTGTGTGTGTGTGTGTGTGTGTGTGTGCAGTCCCAGTAGAGACCAGAAGAAGGCATTGTGGGGGCAGTGGGGTTGCTGGGGAACTGGAGAGATGGCTAAGCAGTTAAGAGTATTGATTGCTTTTCCAGAGGTCCTGAGTTCAATTCCCAGCAACCACATGGTAGATCACAACTGTCTATAGTGGGATCTTGTACCCTCTTCTGGCATAAAGTTGTACGTGCAGATTGAGCACTCATATACTCATATACATTAAATAAATAAATAAGGCTTTGATTGTTTTCGAGACAGGGTTTCTCTGTGTAACAGCCCTGGCTATCCTGGAACTAGCTCTTGTAGACCAGGTTGGCCTCGAACTCACAGAGATCTGCCTGCCTCTGCCTCCTCATGCTGGGAATAAAGGTGTGCGCCACCACTACCCCGCATTTTTTTTTTCCCACAGGAAGGAGAAGGCATTGGATCCTCTGGAGCCAAAGTTCTGGACAGTAACTCTGGTACTAAGAGTGTTCTAGGAGAACAGAATGTACCCTTAACCCCTGAGCCAATTCTTCAGCCTCCTTTCAACCTTTTTTTTTTTTTATAGCCTCTGGGGCTACAGAGATGGCTCAGAGGTTAAGAACACATGCTAGCCAGGCATGGTGGCACATGCCTTTAATCCCAGCACTTAGGAGTCAGAGGCAAGCGGGGTGTCTCATTTGAGGTCAGCCTGATCGACTGAACAAGTTTCAGGACAGCCGAGGCTGTTTTACATAAATCCTGTCTCAAAAAAACCACATGCTGCTGATGCGGAGAACCTGGGTTTGGTTCCCAAGGCTCACATCTGTCTGTAACTCCAGTTCCGGGGGATTTGATAACTTCCCCTGGCATCTGCAAGCACTGGCCTATGTAATGGTATACATGCAGACACACAATACAATAAAATAAAAGTAAATAGTTTATTACAAATTAATAAATAACAGCACTGGGGTCAACATGATGGCTTAGCAAGCAAAAGCAGCTGTTACCAAGCCTCATAACCTGGATCTGATTCCAAGACCCATGTGCTAAAGGAGAGAACTCCCACCTATGGTGCTCAGTGTGTACACACATGTAAATGTAAATCCAAAAATAATACGATAGCAGCGTCAACTCTGCTGACACTTTCAGGTCCCATCGATCTGACATAACTGTTCTTTAACTTGTTTATTGCTAGTTTGCTAAATTGTAAAACTTAATTAGCTTTGTGAAGGCAGAAATTTGTTTAATTGACAACTTTCCCTGGCACAAATCTAAAACACAGCTCACAGTGCATTTTTGTTAAGTAATAGAAAAGAACCAGTAGAGGCCCAGGGCATCTTGTATACCCATCACAGAGCCTTCTATTTTTGTGAAGTAAGATGTCATACATATACATGAAATACACTATGTACATAGACAACATCGTAAAGTACCAGTGTGTCCTTCCTTTTTTGTCTTACCTCTCTTTTCTTTTCTTTTTTTTGCCAATTTTTTTATTTATTTATTTATTAATTAAAGATTTCTGGCCGGGCGGTGGTGGTGCACGCCTTTAATCCCAGCAGAGGCAGGCGGATCTCTGTGAGTTCGAGACCAGCCTGGTCTACAGAGCTAGTTCCAGGACAGGCTCCAAAGCCACAGAGAAGCCCTGTCTCGAAAAACTAAAACAAACAAACAAACAAACAAAAGATTTCTGTCTCTTCCCCGCCACCGCCTCCCATTTCCCTCCCCCTCCCCCAACCAAGTCCCCCTCCCTGGTCAGCCCAAAGAGCAATCAGGGTTCCCTGCCCTGTGGGAAGTCCAAGGACCACCCACCTCCATCCAGGTCTAGTAAGGTGAGCATCCAAACTGCCTAGGCTCCCACAAAGCCAGTACATGCAGTAGGATCAAAAACCCATTGCCATTGTTCTTGAGTTCTCAGTAGTCCTCATTGTCCGCTATGTTCAGCGAGTCCTGTTTTATCCCATGCTTTTTCAGACCCAGGCCAGCTGGCCTTGGTGAGTTCCCTATAGAACATCCCCATTGTCTCAGTGTGTTGGTGCACCCCTCACGGCAGTCCTGAGTTCCTTGCTCGTGCTCTCTCTCCTTCTGCTCCTGATTTGGACCTTGAGATTTCTGTCCAGTGCTCCAATGTGGGTCTCTGTCTCTGTCTCCTTTCATCGCGGGATGAAGGTTAATATTCAGGAGGATGCCTATATGTATTTCTTTGGGTTCTCCTTCTTATTTAGCTTCTCTAGGATCACTAATTATATAGGCTCAATGTCCTTTGTTTATGGCTAGAAACCAAATATAAGTGAGTACATCCCATGTTCCTCTTTTTGGGTCTGGCTTACCTCACTCAGGAAAAATTACCCTAGGAAAATTAATCATCTTGTCAGTTCTTTAAAGTTTTTAGCCTGTCAATTTATTTAATAACTTTAATTAAATCTTCCAATGTCACATGTAAATATGTGTCTTAGACAAATTGTGTGCACATACGCTCTAGACCTGCTGTCACATTCTTGTAATCCCATTACTTGTGAATCTAAATCAGGAAAATGAAGTTAGAGGCCAGCCTTGGCTAAATAGTAAGACCCTGTCTCAAGGGGGGAGGGGAACTGGCAGGGTGGCTCGGTGGGTGAAAGCATTTGAGTCTAATTGCTGAGCCCACAAGGTGGAAGAAGAACCAACCTTCAAGCAGTAGGAAAAACAGCCCATTGCCTACCCACTCCCACTGTTCATTGCTGTGGGGTCTTGGGCAAGGGTATTTTGGACAGTCTTTATTCCAGGTTGACCTCAACCATTGGAATTATAGACATGTGCCTCTGTGCCCAGCTTTAGTTCCCTGGAACTTGATTTTCTCAGTGTCTTTAAACAAGGCTTATGATAAAATAATTGAACTTCATAGGCTCACGGCATAGATTAACTAGAGGTCCACATAACAGCTTAGTGACTCTGTCCAACACCTAGTGAGAACAGGAGTGATGATAGCTATACACATTCTTTCTTTTTTTTTTTAAATATTTATTTATTTATTATGTATAAATATTCTGTCTGTGTGTATGGCTGCAGGCCACAAGAGGGCACCAGACCCCATTACAGATGGTTGTGAGCCACCATGTGGTTGCTAGGAATTGAACTCAGGACCTTTGGAAGAGCAGGCAATGCTCTTAACCTCTGAGCCATCTCTCCAGCCCCTACACATTCTTTCTTGAGTGTGGACCTCATATCCTGCATGACTGGTAACTCATTCGTGGGGCTTGATTTGGGAAGCACACAGCTGGGGCGTCCTCATTGGCTTTTCAGTAAGCTTGTCGGGGTAGGATATAGACCTGCATTTGTGAGCTGCCCTGAACTGACAGTGCTAATTCTTCTCCAGGTGAAGAACATCATATACCACGCAGTGAAAGATGCTGTTGGCACTCTCAAGGCCCACGAATCCAAACTGGCAAGGTCTTAAGGCATGGGGAACTTCCAGCTCTCCTGTGAAGCAGGCCTTTCACAACACTTACCAGGGAACGGCAGGGCTCTCTGCAGGAGCAGAAGCCCTTCCCCAAGCCAGTGTGGTCAGTATTACAAACTCTCCAGCCGCTCTTTCTATGCTGCCTCAACACTGAAGGTTGACACATGAAAATGGCACTGTTCACACACACAGTTTCAGATTCGAAGCTGAGGGTGCCACACTCCATCCAGTGGCCTTTGGGAATCCAGGTTGCTTGAACATCGCTGGGCTCTCCTGCACATCTCCTGGTTTGAGACCATGGAAACCAGGAATGTGGGCACACCTTCCTTCTCTGTTCCTCTTGTGCCTAGCTCAGTGGGACTGTGTTTGGAGGCGGAGGAAGTCATAACTGGTAAAGTAAGGAGATACAATGTGCCTGGTGGAAGCCCGGCCATGTCTCTGCACATGACTTCTGACCTGGCCCATCCCAGGAGATGGGGTGCAGCCATTCCCCATACTCTCTGTGAATATGGAGTCTTCAAGACCCAGGGAGAGCCTACAACTTTTCCCAGGAGGCTTCAGGATTAGGAACCGTGTGTATTAGTGAGAACTAGGTTTGTAGTGAAATAGTTACTATTTCATGAAAGTAGATATTTTTAGAACTTTTGAAATAACACAGTTGTTTTCCTGGACTACAAGGAAAGGCACATTACTTTAGTCTTCCTTTCAATAAAACTCTTTGAAAGATATGATTTTTAGAAATCAGCTGTCCCTTATAGCACAAAATCAGCCAAAGCGTAATTTAAAAGAATTGGCATTTTACTATAATCCTTTAGTTTCTCCCTCCCTCTCAGTCTTATCTCGAGGGAACAGTTGTCTGAGAAAGAACTGTGTCATGTCTGAGCTGTGGATTGTTCCCTGCGTGCACACCGCTGACTCCGGGATCTGTTTGCCGACTACCAGCGTTCCCTTGGGACTCTGCATATGTTTCCAAATGGGGTGGAAAGTTTGGTTTCCAATATAAGAGTTTTTTGTTTTTTAGAGTTTTGTCTGGAATTATTTTCAGCAAAACTTTACAACTCAGTGGAGTTTTTATTAAGAATTTACTTGGAAATGATGGAATTCACTGGCCCATAGGTACACTGGGAAATGTACCTCTTCCCAGGTGTACTGCCCTGCAGCCTTGTTTATATGTTCACAGTTACCTTTTTTTTTTTTTAAATAAAAGTCATTTACTGTAGAATACTTTTAATTTCACTTTCTGTACTTTAATTTTATTGAAGGGCTGATTGGGATTTCCATGTTCTTATTAAAAAAAAATCTAACAAATCTGTTTGGAGCAGACAAATTCTTTCTGTGCCAACTTTTCTAAAGTCAAGACTACACTGTGGGCTGTCAGAGGTGTGGCTGGTTTCAGGGCCTCTTGCTGCCCTGCGCCTAATGATCTGATCACTCTTTGCCCTTGAGTTATGCTTAGTTGAGAGAAAGAACGTGCCCAGTGAGTTGGCTGGTGGAGTTTATGCTCACTGAACAAAAAGGGCTAAGTGGGGTCCTCCTTCCTTTAGGGTGCAGGATGCGAGAACAGTGCCCTAATGTACAGCCTGCACACAGCTCCAGGTGAGGCTGTGAGGTCATCCGACTGCATACCGTAAAGTGTGCGGCTCTGCAAAGGACCCAACTGGGGTTGTTTATTAAGCAAAATTAAAACTGTTCTTGTTGGGTAAGGACAGACTATATTCTAGTTAAAAGAGGTCTTTTGGGAAGGAAGTTATGTAGAAAAGCAAGAGGCATCATCAGAGGCCTGCTTCTCTGAAACCTATTCTTCTGAAACTTGCTTCTCTGAAAACACCTTCCAGAGCATTTGAGCCTAGAAACATAATTATCAAGCTAGAAATAGACTATTTGTGTTTTTCAAGGCTTCTAGGTTTGAATATGAGTCTTTGAAATACACAACTCCGAGCATGCCCTTACAGCCTGGTTGGACATTTTAATAATGTGGTCCACCCAAAGGATTATACCTCAACACAAAGCTGCAGGATGTAGCAGCTGTAAAGTGGGGCGGGGAAGGAGGGCAGTGGGGGGGCTGCTTTGCGAGCTAGCCTACATTCCGGATATAAATGTCTTCAGAAATAGGACATCCACCACCAATTGTATTTTCTGAGGGGGGTGGAGCTGAAGTCTCTGGACTTTTCACTGACTTGAGACTCATTCCTCTCTCTCCTATCCCCTCCCCATGAAATTAAATTTCACATATTCCTAACCCTGGCACAATTTACTACCCAAAAGTCCGATCAAACCATGTGAACAAATTCCCTTTTACCTGGAAATTGGCGGTTATTGATGAGGACTGGAGTGCACAGGTGCAGCCACACCTGGCCCAGGAGCCCAGGTGGACGTCCTGGAGCCTGCAGTGGAGGAGGAGAGTTCGATGGTTGGTCTTTGGAGCATGTAGCCTCTAAAATAAACTTCGCTTTATATCGTAACAAGTATGACTTAGTGGTTTTGTGACCCTCGGCATAGCAGTGGAAACCAATAACATCCACCTTCAAGATGAGGATTAACTGTAACTTCTGACTTATAGGGTAGTTGTGAGGATTCAATGGAATAACACACAAAGCTCTAAGCACAGGGCCTGCCAGTTAAGCACTAAAGCAGCTGTTGCTCCTGGTGGGATCTTGAGGCCTTCAACCTGATGTGGGCAGGGCCAGAGGTGGGCCGAAGCTAATGTCAAAAGGATGGAACCGTAAGAGTCCCCGCCGGGAGCTTGGCCTCCACCTTGAAGCTCAAAGAAAATGAACTAGCGATATAGAGGCAGGCTGGGCACTGAGGGTGAAGGCGCATGCCCAGCCACAGCAGGTGCTGGGGGGGCGCGCCGACACAGCGGCCTCCCCTTTAAGAGCCGCCACCGCCCACGGCCCGCTGCTGCGGCAGGAACCTCCCCTTTAACGGCGGCAACTCCGCGCTCTGCTGACCCCACAGCGGCTGCCGCTGCTAACTGCAGCTCCTGCTGCCTCCACCGCCGGCCTCGGGCAGCTGCATCCTCGCCCGGGCTGGGTCCCCGCCCCGCCATGGTGTCCTGGATCATCTCTCGCCTGGTGGTGTGAGTGCCGAGGCGGTAGCGGGGCTCGCCCGGTGGGGGATGAGGGGGGCCGGTGATGGAGGGCGCGGTATTCAAGCCTGGGATGGATTAGCCCAGGGTTCCTATGTGGTGTCCCCAGAGACAGAGATGTGAGACCGAAGACTGGAAGGGGGGCATTACGGGAGTATACAGGCCTGGTTTCCCAGAGACCTCACCCATATTATTTTTAAAACCCGTTTATTCTTAATTGCCTTGCTTCTGCGCCCTCCCCCATCCTAGAGGCTGAGCAGCTACTGATTTATAAGGGGAGGCAGGCACATCCCCTCCCCCACTGAGCAGATCTAGGCTGCAGGAGCCCAGCATACAAGACTTTCCTTTCCCTAGGGAAGAGAGTAAGACAGTGTGGGGAGCTTGACAGGGGCCTCATCATTCCAGAGCTCAGATCCAAAGCTTTCAGACCCTCCTCCTGCTTCCCCGGCTAGAGACTGGATGAGGACACCTGCCCTAGGCATCCAGGGAGGAAGGCTGGGCCTGGAAGCCGAGGTGCTGGGAGGACAAAGTGGGGAGGTAACAGGATGGATGTCTATTATCTGCCTAGGATTGGGAAAACATTCGGTAGCCTTGATCCCAGACACATTGTAACAGTCACATTGTGGAGCTATGGCCCTGGCACCTCCCCCGGATACAGGAAGAAATACCTCCCTCCCGCAGGAGCCTAAATGTTGGCCTTGAGGATTCTGGCCCACTATCCAGCATCAGCACGGGCAGCGAGTGCCCTGGCTTAGCAACACCCACACTAGAAGGGGCGGGGCTTCAGAGCCAACCCTTCCTCTAGTTCAGGTTCTGACCCTCAGCCTCCATCAGGACTGCCATACCAGGAACCCCACCCTTCTTCCCAGTCAGTGTTGTCACAGGCCTGTGTCCTGGTTTCCTCTCAGCCCATTGGGGTTTCCTCTTCCCACCCGCTAGAGGCCTTATCTCTCCGCGTGGCATTCCAGATGATTGGTTCCCTCCTGGCCTGGGGAAACTCCCTCCCTCCACCCCCACCCCACCACTGATGTCCTTTCTGTAATCTACAGTGGGATGCTCAGACAGGGTCTTAACTGTACCTGACCTCAGACCATGTTGACATGGGGTTATAAACCTCTGTCTCTTTCAGGACCTCCTGAACCTGTGCCCTCTAGTCCCAAGATCACAATAGTTCTGACTGCCAGGTTGGGTGCCCTATTAGGTGATGTTAGGTTCTCTTGGAGAATTGGTTCTACCCAGGCTGTCTCTGAGACAAGGAAGTGGAGAGTATGAACAGATGGGTTGAGCGGGCATTAGGCCAAGAAGGAAGACATCTCCTGGCAGTGACCAGCCCCCTTAACTCCCAAAACATGTTTGTGCATCGCCAAGGATTCTGGCTGAAGGGACCTCTAGCCTCTAGGGGTCTAGGGGAAGGGCTGGATGTGATCTTGGAGTCTTCACTTAATCCTTGACTAGAGCTCCTCAACCAGCTTCTTTGGAGCTCTGTTCATTTGCACCTTAGCCCTCCAAGGGCTGATGCAGAGCTGGGAGGGAGGAGGGCCCAGTAACCATGCCTGCCTCCCTAGGCTCATCTTTGGCACCCTGTACCCAGCCTACTCTTCCTACAAGGCCGTGAAGACCAAAAACGTGAAGGAATATGTAAGTGAACAACATTTAACAAACACGGGGGGAGGGGGGGCATTTTATCACATTACAGGTGGGGGGAGACAATGGCTTCGTGCCATGCTGTCCAACAAAACCCTGAGCAAAAGAGGTTCTGGGATGTTCCCTATTCTCCACCCAGGCTTGGTATGATTGACAAAGGGCCTGGGGAACTTTCTCCCAGGACTTCAGTAGAGAGCAGGCAGCAACATGGGGTCTTGGGTTTCCTTGGCAGCCGGGGACCTTGGTGTTTACATATCCTCAGTCCTAGGCCCCATATAATGCTGCCCTTTGCCCCCCAGGTAAAATGGATGATGTACTGGATCGTCTTCGCCTTCTTCACCACAGCAGAGACACTCACGGATATCATACTGTCCTGGTGAGGTCCAATGGCCGCTCCTTGTATCTCAAGACCCAGACCCTTTCCCTTTGGAAGCCAGACAGGCAGAAGGTTGGGACCCAGGCTAGAGTTACCCCAACTTCCAACAGCCCCTGGGTGTCCTTAATACTGTTCTTAAGGCCTGATATCAGCAGAGTAAGAACAAATGTAGCAAGCCGGGCATGGTGGTCCACGCCTTTAATCCCAGCACCTGGGAGGCAGAGGCAGGTGAATCTACATAGTGAGTTCTGAGACAGCTGAGGGTACCCTAGCCCAAAAGCTTGACAGACTGTCCTCAATTCTGGTGACAGCCATAGCACCACAGTGGAATTCACCGATTTTGTGTCCACTCCTTCGTCCTTGTTGGAACAGTAGACAGATTGCCAGTTCCTAAGCCTTGTCTTCCCTGTTTGTGGGACACTGGATGCTCATATTTCCAAGGCATTGCACTAATAGGCCTAAAGTATAGGAGTGTTACAGGGACGGGGAACATGTCTGAGCAAGCACCTCTTGAAGAGGACAGTCCATGGAATTTGAATCACCTGTAATCCCAGGCGCCCATAAGGTATCCCAGCCTGGCCTACGTAATCTCAGTGCAGGGGGCAGAAAGGTGGCTCAGCAGCAAAGCCCTGGCCACATAAGCCTGCTTACCTGAGTCTGATCCCTGCAAGCCAGGTAAGAGTGGAAGGGGAGAAGCAGCCCCAGATGCTGTCTTCTGACCCCCACATTGCACTGTGCAGAAGCCTGCACCCAACACACACATGTGCTCATGCACATATCATACATGAGTAAGATTTTTTTAAAGATTTATTATGTATAGTGTTCTGTCTGCATGTACGCCTGCAGGCCAGAAGAAGGCACCAGATCTCATTACAGATAGCTGGGAGCCACCTTGTGGGTACTGGAAATTGAACTCAGAACCTGTGGAAGAGCAGCCATCCCTCCTGCCCCCATGGTTAAGATTTTTTTAGAAAGGCAATAGCATCTAGGTGGTGGTGGTGCACACCTTTAATCCCAGCACTTGGGAGGCAGAGGCAGGAGGATCTCTGTGAGTTCAAGACCAGCCTGGTCTATAGAGAAGAAAAAAAAAGCAAGAGCTTACTGGCCAGGTACCTTCCTAAGTCTGCTTACTATTCTGAATTCAAAAAAAGCATAATTTTTATCTCTCATAGTTTTTCCCTTTCCTTCTTTTTCTTTCTT